CTAGCCCCGGCCTCCCGGGCGGCGGGCGGCCCTCCGCGGCCCCGGCGACGCCCCGCCCCGGCGCTCACCGAACACCAGGATGTTCTTGCCGGACGGCAGCTTGGACCTGGCGCGGGTGGACACCTCGCTCAAGATCGAGGACCTGCGGGGACAAGGGAGAAGCGCTCAGCCCCGGGGCGAGCCGGCCCCCCGCGCCCCGCCCGCCCCCCGCCGGACCGCGCCCCCGGGTCGGCGGCTCGGCCTGGCCGCCGCGCGCTCACCACAGACTCTGGCCCTCTTCTTCCTCGCTGGTCAGGTCGCCGGCGGCCGCCACCGCGGGCCCGTTGGGGCCCAGCAGCAGCTTCTTCTCCACCCCCACCGGCGCCATCTTGCCAACTGCAGCCACAAAGAGGGCCCTCCCCCGGGCCCGCCGAGGACCCGCGAGGACCCGGCCGGGCCGCCCCGCCGCCGCCGCCGCCCGCGCCGCTCCCCGCCGCCCGCCCTGCCGGGCCCGCGCCGCCCTCCCGCCCGCTCCGCCGGGCCCACGGCCCCTCAGCTCCCGCACGGTCGCGCGGCCGCCGAGCTGCCGGAGCGTGGGCGGCGGTCAGGCGGCCGCCGGGGCAGCCATGCGCAGACAGGCGGCGGCGGCGGCGGCGGGAGCCGCCCGGCCCGGGGCGCGCGCGGCCTCTGCTGGCCAAGGGGCGCCGGCGCACGCCAACTGGGGTCCCCGTCCCGCCGCGCGCCCGCCGAGGGCCGTCGGGGGCCCGGCGGCCGAACGCGAGGCCGCGAGCCGCGCGGGCTTCGGAGCGAGGCCGGTGGCCCAGTGCCCCGCTCCCACGTCATCTCACCGAAGCCTAGCTAAGGAACCTGAAGTCTGCAGAGCTCAAGAAACCTGCCCGAGGACCCCCTACTAAAGATGGCACCTCAGTACTTAAATCTTACTCACTGCGCCTACATAAACTGTTGTAGCATGAACTTTGCCTCATGCTCACCAAGCCCCGCGTGGAGAGGACCTTAAGCGAGACCCTCAAATCCTTATATTCCCCTTTCCACCTCCTTTCCTTGACCCTACCAAAACCGCATAGTAGTGCCTTGCCGCCGTAAACAAAACACTCGAGTTTGTTCGTGGGTTTGCAAAAACGGCACTTCCAGGTAGCCAGCATTTCACACCAGAAATAGGCTTTCATTTCCTTTCTAGCGGGCAGCAGGAATGGGGGTGCGGGGCTGGAGGAAAGAAAATGAAAGAATAAAGGTCAAGGAGAGACAATCATAAAGTAATGGCGGGGGGTGGGGGACACACGCATTTCACCTTCTAGCATAATTAGGTGTGGCCTCTGAGGGCTCTTGCTACCCTCTGTGGAAAACAGCTCACTGTACAAGGCATTTCTAAATATCACAAGGAAGTGGGATATGGCAGAAAAGTAACCACCTACATGAGCTTAGTAGAATTCTGATCCAGCTCTGCCAAAAATGTTGGCAGCAAGAGTTACAGGATCCAGCAAATGGGCATAGCATCTGCCAACCTGAAAGTAAGGTTCAAACAAGACAATGAGAGTCAAAACCCATTAAGGGTTACATCCTTGGAAATCCAGCAAGTGTTAAATTGTAAAAGGGCAAGCAGTGTCTAAATTTTCACAAGACTGAGATGGGAGTTTGCAACTATAGGTCAGTGAACTTCATCAGCCCTAGGTAGAACACTCCAATGTGACCAGTTGGAAAAGGAAGAGATAGGACCAGATTTACAGTCTTTCTCTTTTTTGCAGGAATACCAGGCAAGAGGATGCTGCAGGCGTAGCAAATGCAGTTTTCAGCAGAGCATCTGGCAATTCACATCATAGACAAGAAAGTGAGAATTTTAAGTTGAGTGATAACATTGAGACAGGTTAAACACCAGGCCCAGAGCGGGCTGATGAGCAGGAACAACCAGAGACTGCTAGGAACCTGACCCAACCAACTCAAGTTGCCATCAGTGACTTGGATGAGAATGCAGCAGCACACTTAAGCTGTGGATGACCTGAAGCAGGAAAGGATGCCTAATATACTGGATGACAAACTGGGTACAGATTATATCTAGCAAGATGAAATTTAACAGACTACTAAAGTAGTGGGGTTAAAAATAAATGCCTAATAACAAAACAGAAATCAGTTAAAACTACGATCTGTAAATTTTAACTATATTGACTACAGTCTGAGAGATGGTCATGTAGAATAAACAGAAGTATCTTAGGTGAAGTCCATGAAACCTCATTGGGCCCTGCAAAGCTGATTCCTTACTCTTGCAGTCAAGCCACATTACTTTCTGGACACAGTTTATAAAGACAAGTGTCCAGTGGTCAGTGAGTAAGCTCATAAGAGAGGACACTGTTCTGCTGAGGTAAATGGGGCTTATCAGCATGAAAGATAAAGAAAGAGGGAAAAGAAGTGATGGATACCTATTCTTTACCTTTCTCAAGGACTGGTATGCAGAAAAGAAATTCAACTTCTGTGGTTCTACAAAAGGTACTTGAGGAAGGCACATTTCATTAAGTATAAAGAAGAAATGACCATCAATTATCATCCTTAGTAAATTCCATGTTTCTGAGGATTTACATAAAATTAAAGAGCCACCAATGTCCAGGTTGTTGTACAGCAATTCATGCCTCTTGCAACAAACTATAACTGATATCAGTTCCAACTCCAAAGGTCTGTTATTATTAAAATAATTTTTATTCCCTGTTGATTTGGCCAGGTCTGAATTCCTAAAGTCAAACAGTTCAAATATATGCCATCATTCCTTGGCTTTCCTTTTGATATGCCTTCATTTATTTTATTACCAAATATTTCTGTTTGAAGGAAAAAGGAGCAGCTCATGTTAACTAAAAGTTAGTCAAGGGTTAGGATAAAATTCCAACGGTTCAGAAGGCAATATAGTATTGGTTATTTCCTTTTCTTAATTCTTATTTTTTTTATAAGTGGGGAAGGGCAGAGGGAAAGAGAGAATCTTAAGCAGGTCCACACCCAGCATGGAGCCCAGACACAGGATTCAATCTCACAACCCTGAGATCATGACCTGAGCTGAAACCAAGAGTTGGACACTCAACCGAGCCACCCAGGCACCCCAATATTGCTTAAATACAGCCTCAGTAACTGAAACAAATCAGTGTCTAAGCTATAGAATGTCATATTTTTGAGGATGCTTCACTTAAGCAGTGTTTGGTTTTTCTGTTACATACATCTCTTCCAATCAATAAAAGAACTATTATCTGGGACCCAACTGAAGTGGAAAAATATGTTTAAGTTGTATCTGAACAATTTAGGAAACAACTTGGTTATCTAAACCAATACGGCTGAAACAGACAAAATATTTTCTCCTTTGACCTAAAATAATTTTCAAAAATCCTGAGAAGTACAAATCAAAATAACCCACCAAACTATTTAAATAATCCCCATAGTGCTTAGGAAATACTGATAATGGACTAGGTTCATTCATACTTTATAAGGAATTTTCCTAAATGAAAATTAATCTTTTGTTTAAAAGGACATTTTAGATTTAAATAGAAAATTTTCTGCATATTGGCTCTCTCTGGAACTTTCATTGTGGATCAGAAAACTAAAAAATAAAAATTCTGAGTTTATCAAAGTAGAAATAGTTATGATGTGAAAAGGTAAAAGAATACAAACTTATAGGGAAATACATTTTGGGAGTGAAGAAATAGTATTTCTATCATTAAGTCAGAGACCTACAATGACATGAAGCAGTGAGCCAATGGGTATATACCCAAATACCTATAAGCACAGGTGAGCTTTGAGGCCCTGATACTTTTGATAAAATAGACTACACACTTAAGTCTTACTATAGTAATCTGAGGCCCTGATACTTAATCACTTTGCCACACCAACAGCATTTTAAGTATAATACAGGCTGCAATAGCATCCTTTAGGGATCATGATAGGAATATAAAAAGAATAAGAAAAATAGGAAATTGAGGTCAAATAATTTGGTTTTCCACTAGAGGAAAACTAACTTAAAAACAAGCAATTCAGAAAAATGTTCCAAGCTTTTAAAAAGCAAAAGCGGGGGATCTCTGGGTGGCTCAGTGGTTTGGCGCCTGCCTTCAGCCCAGGGCGTGATCCTGGAGTCCCAGGATCAAGTCCCAGGATCGAGTCCCGCACCGGGCTCCCTGCATGGAGCCTGCTTCTCCTCTGTCTGTGTCTCTGCCTCTCTCTCTCTCTCTGTGTCTCTCATGAGTAAATAAATAAAATCTTAAAAAAAAAAGCAAAAGCAAAAAAACATACACCAAAAAGAAGTGAACATGACCAGAGAATTCGGGAGTATTCAAAGGAACTGCACTATCAGCCTCTTGAAGAGGAACATTTTAGTTAACAGAATTTTTTTTAAGGTTTATTTATTTATTAATGAGACACAGAGAGAGAGAGGGGCAGAGAGACACAGGCAGAGGGAGAAGCAGGCTCCATGCAGGGAGCCCGACATGGGACTCGATCCTGGGTCTCCGGGATCACACCCCAGGCTGAAGGCAGCGCTAAACCACTAAACCACCAGGGCTGCCCTAGTTAACAGAATGTTAAACATTGATTTAATGTGTTGGGAATTTTACTTGAACAGCTTGGGAAACTATTCTAAGTTCTGGGGAAGAACTTCCACTAAGTAAGAATATACTAAAGTCCAAATGTCTCACATGGTATCCATTACAATATAATGTCAAATAATGTTTAAAGGTTGATCATTTTTTTCTCTGACCTGTGTTCTTTGAGCTTAAAGAAAAATAAAAGCGTAATCCTAAACAAATGTTTGACCTTACAAAGGAATTTTGTTTTACTAGGCTACACATTAAAAATTTATTATTTTATAAATGACTTTAATAATTTGATGAGATCACAAAAAGTCACATCACAAAAAGTATGTAATTAAAACAGTATTCCTGTTTTCAGATTCCCTGTTTCATGAGAGTTTAGAAGAATATTTTAAATTGTGTTTCCTCAAGGCATTGTATTTTAAGAGTTCAAACTAACAAGTATTCCAATCAAGGAGCTACACACTTGGGGCGTTTGGTAAGCTTGTGGTATTTGTGAGCAAGATCCACAGCCTTCCGTCCTTGCTGAAAGGGGAAAGACCACAAAATTAAATTCCAATGATTTCCCATTTTCTTAACTCCATTGAAAAGGTAATTTATTTCTTCTTCAGTAAAGTTTTTACGAATTCTTCTTTTTTCTGTAATTAATGAGAATTTTAGAATGTATTAGTACTTGCTGGGAAAAAAAAGGGACTCTTCTTGAGACCCAAAAAAGTGCTTAACCTATTCTAAGGATATGAACTATATAGTGAGAAAGCTTCATGCCTGCGCTATTCATCATAGAGAAATCCATGTCACTTTTAAAATTGAGTGCCTACTATGAAGCTAGGCCTTATCACTGTGAATTCTTCAATAACTGTAACTTAATCCCATTGTAATAATACCTGCAACATCTTTCAATCAAGAAACACAAAAATTTATAAACATTTGATTGTTAATTCTCTCAACATTCTTGTGAGGACAATTAACAAACAGCTTACCTATCTTACAGATAGTCTTCCCAAAGGGCTCCATTACTTCATAGAATAAAAAAGAATATCAACACTTGTTATTTTAATTAACAGGCTTGATAATATTTTTAAAGAATAAGAGTCTTTTGAAATTCATTTTAAAAAACACATTCATTACCTATATGGGTGCTCAGCTTATTAAAACTCAAAAAAATAGGCTGCACAAGGGGAGGTTACTAATCTGGTTTTTAGGGATACTTTCTAAAACAGAAAGTGTGTGTGTGTATATATATATATAGATATATATATATAGTTGGTATCTATAAACATAACTATCTTCTGATAATGATTACTAGGAAATAGTTTTCCTTTAACCTTTTTTTTTAAAGATTTTATTTATTTATTCATGAGAGACACAGAGAGAGAGAGGGGCAGAGACACAGGCAGAGGGAGAAGCAGGCTCCATGCAGGGAGCCTGACCGCTGAGCCAACCAGACGTCCCTTCTTTAAGCTTTTTCATTCATTGCTAATTCCTGTTATCTTTGTGGATAGATGCTGATAAGGAGAAATGTTTTCTATTTCCACTTAAGGCTGCTATTTACTTCAGTAGGACTTGAAATAGTTGGGGCGAGACAACCTTAGAATATCTTGCCCTTGAGGATCCCTGGGTGGCTCAGCAGTTTGGTGCCTGCCTTCAGCCCAGGGCCTGATCCTGGTGTCCTAGGATTGAGTCCCACATCGGGCTCCCTGCATGGAGCCTGTTTCTCCCTTTGCCTGTGTCTCTGCCTCTCTCTCTCTCTCTCTCTCTCTCTCTCTCTGATTCTCATGAATAAATAAATAAAATCTTTTTAAAAAAAGAAAAAAAATCTTGCCCTTGCAGGTCAAGACTGTTAGCCATTTGTCTACCTTTCCTAGGCTTTTCCTAGGAACAGAGCCATAGTTCAGATCTTTTAAAACAGTAATGAAAATATTACCAGCAGAAGGCTGAGAAATCATTGAAAATAATGTCTGATTATTACTTAATGGTATATCTTAGAATGTAAGCTCCATGAAGATAAGAATTTTGTCTGTTTTGCAAAGCACTGCATCCCCAGTGCCTAAAACAGTGTCTGACACATAGCAGATGATCAATAAATATTTTGTGGAAAGAAAAAAACTTAGTGGTAAAAAGTGTTTCAAAACTTATCAATGGGGGCTCCTGTGTGGCTCAGTTGGTTAAGAGTCTGCCTTCAGCTCAGGTCATGATCCCAGGGTCCTGGGATCAAGCCAAGTCAGACTCCTTGCTCAGCGGGGAGTCTGCTCCTCCCTCTCCCTCTGCTACTCCCCCTGCTTGTGCTCTTGTGCTTACTCTCTCTCAATAAATAAATCTTAAAAAAAAAAACAAACAAAAAACTTATCAATAAATTTACTCTTTACTTTTGGGTCTACTGGAAAACTGCTGTTACCCAAGAAATACAGGATTTCAACTTCACTTGCTAAATGATTTGAATTTATTATATTCAGAAATGGACAGATTGTTACAATGTTCAGGATACTAGCATTTGGAAGTTATTCACATAAAGACAATTCCGACTTTTCTAATGCATCTGCCATCTCACTGAGTCCTATAACTGTGCCCAATTCTCAAAGGTTACTGCAGCAGCCTACGAGGAAGCAGCTCTACCCCGCAAGGCTTCTCTTCTGTGGCTCCTTTAGCGCTCCTCTTAATATTGATTGAATGTTAGGAAAGAGTAGGGGAAAGTAGGCAAGAAGGCTCAGTTCTAGAGACCCTTATTTTTCAAACCTTCTCAATACACCAGTTCATCCTGAACGAGAGCCAAGGCTCTTTAAAAGCTCAGATGCTGCAATGGTCTCTTCTCAAAAGAATGGTTCCAAATTTGAATGTAACTTACAACCAAACTTATAGTCATAACTGTCTCTTGAAAAGAAACGGAAATCAAGGGGAGAAAATGGCAACATATCCAAAATTCCTAGCCTGCTTGTAAAAGAGATAGAAGACCAAACTACTCCATACCTCAAGATGACTTTCCAAATTCTAAAAAAAACAGGCCAAATTATTGACTATTTGGTTTTAGCTAAAGCGATTCTTACAAAAAAGACACATGTATTTATGAGCTGGATATCACTTAACAGTATTTAGGATCCTTCTGTATAATCAAAGTATAACCATAATTATGTTCACTTCATGAGGCTCTGGAAATGAGTTTACTATGTAAAATGATCATAATATATTTTTAGTTGTTATATATTTGCTTTTAAATCATGTTGTTGAAAAAATCCATTATTAATTTGATGTCAAGTCCTTGTCAAAAGCAAGTTTTCCAAGTACAACATGTTTCTAAGGAAAAGTAACCATTTTCTAACAGTTTCTACAGAAAACATTACTTCAAAAGGTGAGCTGCCCTATAGGAGTACTGTATGTAATTTTAATTTTCATGCAAAACTTTTAACTTAGAAGAAGATCCAGGGAGACCTAGGTGGCTCAGTGGTTGAGCATCTGCCTTTGGCTCAGGGCATGATCCTGGGGTCCTGGGATCGAGTCCCATATTGGGCTCCCTGCATGGAGCCTGCTTCTCCCTCTGCCTATGTCTCTGCCTCTCTCTGTCTCTCATGAATAAATAAAATCTTAGAAAAAGAAAAAGAAAAAGAAAAAGAAAAAGAAAAAGAAAAGAAAAGAAAAGAAAAGAAAAGAAAAGAAAAGAAAAGAAAAGAAAAGAAAAGAAAAGAAAAGAAAAGAAAAGAAAAAGATCCAGCTATAAAAAGTAAATTCGAGGGATGCCTGGCTGGCACAGTTGGTAGAGCACGTGACTCTTGATCTTGGGGTTGTGAGTTTGAGCCCCACACTGGGTATAGAGATTACTTAAAAAAAACAAACAAACAAACAAGTAAACTTGACATTTCCTTTAAGGCTTTGGAAGTAAAATGTCCAGGTAAATACATAGCAAAACGTTTCCGTATGTATCAAGTCTAAATATTTCTGCAATAAATAACAGAATAACTCTATAGATATTACTAAATTCCAGGGTTTTTTTGACAAGTAAGGTACTCAACTGCTTATTCTTACTCTGCAGGTATTAATTTGATATGAAGAGAAGAAAATGATAATGTTAAGTCTCTAATAAACTTAGAATGGTGACAAACTTGAAATGTTAACCTGTAGTTAAATAACAATTCTTAGAAGTTAACTCATTGTTTAAGAAGTATTTTATTTTTATTTTTATTTTTATTTTAGTATTTTGATTTTTAAGCAGGGTTTTGAAGTATATACTATTTGTCTCTTCAATTCTGGTGGTGTGAAGTGCTATAGTTATGAACCAAAATTTGCTGCAAAATCTCTCTGAAGCACTTACACATAGGAGAATAATTTTGTTCTTAAAATAGACTTGTGATCCAGAGGCTAGAAGAGGGGCTTCTGAAAAAAGACAGGCTTGCATTTGAATGTAAGCTCTGCCATTTGCCAACTCATTTTACCTTAAAGTGGGAATAAAATAAAACCTACCAGGCAGCCTGGGTGGCTCAATGGTTTAGCGCCCAGAGTGATCAGCCCAGAGTGATCCTGGAGATCCGGGATCGAGCCCCACGTCAGGCTCCCTGCATGGAGCCTGCTTCTCCCTCTGCCTGTGTCTCTGCTTCTCTCTCTGTGTGTCTCTCATGAATAAATAAAATCTTTTTAAAAAACAAAACCTACTTTATAACATTATTATAAGAATTAAAGGAAACGTCTATGAAACACCTAATCCATATTAGGTACTTAATGTTTCCTTCTGCTTCTTCCTCAGCTGACAAACAATGGGGGAGAAAGCAACACGAGGAAGGAAAGTGGGAAGGCTCTTGTTTTACAAACTATGGCCCTCATCAGAGCCAAGGGTTATCATTTAAGAACCATTAATGATGAGACTGAGAACAATCCTGCAGCTGTCCTCTTTTTCTCAGAACTATATGCAATTTAGGTTTATTTAAAAATTAAATATATTCACTTATTCTTTCAGAAGTAGCAGATTCACTCCTGAGTTGTCTTCTACGTGGGGTCAGCAGAATTTCTGAAAAATACAGAAAACATTTAGGATAAAATATCAATCTGAGTAAGAGCACATTAATTCCATTAGTATGGTATTTCCTACACACCTCCCCCCCCCCCACCTTCTAGTGGGAATTCTTAGATGGATTAGGAAGAATTTTTAAACCACCAGAGACTAAATCTGTTCCCTGGGTACGTTTTAAAACACTGGTTTCTCGGGGATCCCTGGGTGGCGCAGCGGTTTGGCGCCTGCCTTTGGCCCAGGGCGCTTTCCCGGAGACCCGGGATCGAATCCCACATCGGGCTCCCGGTGCATGGAGCCTGCTTCTTCCTCTGCCTGTGTCTCTGCCTCTCTCTCTCTCTCTCTGTGACTATCATAAATAAATAAATAAAAAAAATAAAAAAATAAAACACTGGTTTCTCAAAGACATTTTCTTTTCAACATTATTTTGGTCTCTAGCTTTTTAATATGTTTAATGTTCTGGATCACAGTTCAGAAGGTATAGTCATGATTACAGTTTCAAAGCTGCTGAATTAATTACTTTTGTTACAGAGAAGTGATTTCCTTAGTTCATTTTTATATCTGTCTTCAGCTTCCACAATGACTTTATGACGATCACACTGGTATGGGCAACAGTGCAAGAGCTTGCTAAAATTTCGGCTATTCAGAGATTTTCCTACTGCTATGCAACCTAAAAGAAAACAAATTAAAATGATGTATAGATTATTACAAAATAGCTAATAACAAATCTATGAAAGCAAATATCTTTATGATGGTAATTGAAGTGAAATCAGGAACTTAATTATAAATATGTCAAGAAATTCTGTCATAAAGGATTAAAGACAACAGATACAATACTGTGAGATAAGTGTTGCAATAGTGTGTGTAAACACACAATAGTTGTGAACAGTTAGGGTGATATATATAAAAGGACTGTCTAGCTTGGTTAAGTTCTGAGCAGGAGTCACTATTAGGAAGATATCCAAAATAAGTGACCGTAATGCCCAGTTGTCTTTTTTTTCCTAATGTTTTATTAAGGAAAATCTCAAAGACACAAGAGTAAAGGGAAAAGTATAATGAACTTCCACATAGCCCTCATTCACCTTCAATAATTATTGTCATGGTCAGTCATATTTGTCTACAACCCCCTATACCCTGATCTGCCCCCCATGTATATACTGGATTATGAAGCCTGAAACTGACATTAAAGTATCACTTCATCTGTAAATACTTCATATGCAACTCTAACAGAGGACTCTTTCCTCCAAACACATAAAACCATTATCAAGCCTAAAAAAATTATACTTAATATAATCTAATAACCAATAAGTGTTAAAATTTCCCCATGATTTCAAAACTTTCTTTTTTTTTCAAAACTTTCTTTTTATGGTTGGTTTGTTTAAACCATGATCCAAAGAAGGTCCATCATTACATTCAGTTGAAATGTCTCTTGAGTTTTTTTTTTTAAGATTTTATTTATTCTTGAGAGAGAGAGAGAAAGAGAGAGAGAGGCAGAGACACAGGCAGAGGGAGAAGCAGACCCCATGCAGGGAGCCTGACGCGGGACTCAATCCCAGGACTCCAGGATCACGCCCTGGGCCAAAGGCAGATGCTTAACCGCTGAGCCACCCAGGCGTCCCTCTTGAGTTTCTCTTAATCTATCAATTCTCCTCTCTTCCTCTTTATCATTTACTTATGTAGACACTGGGTCATTTGTACTATGGAGCTACCCAAAGGCTAGGTTTCACTGATTATATTCTAGTTAAATGCTTTAAAATGTTCCTGTGTGTCCAATAAACTAGTAAAACCAGTAATCACATCTGGATGAGTGATAGGATTCAGATTCAATTGTGGTTTTTTTTTTTAAGATTTATTTTAAAAGATTTATTTGAGAGAGAGCATGAGTGAACACAATTTGGGGGAGGGGTAGAGGGAGAGGGTCAAGCAGACTCCCTGCTAAGCAGGGTATACAACATAGAACTCGATCTCAGGGCCCTGAGATCATGACCTGAGCCGAAGTTAGATGCTTCACCCACTGAGTCATGTAGGCACTCCTATTTTATTTTTTATTTTTATTTTTATTTTACAGAGAAAGAAAACAAGAAGGAGTGGAGAGAGGGGTAGGAGAACCTCCAAGCAGATTCCCTACCAAGCACAGGGCCTGACACGGGGGCTCAATCCCATGATCCTGAGATCATGAAGCAGAAATCAAGAGTCAGATGTTCAACTGGCCAAGCCCCCGAGGTGCCCCAATTCAATGGTTTTTAGTATAGCTCATCACAGGCAGTATTGCGGACTTCTTACTGCATCATATTAACACAGACACATAAGGTATCTCCCTCTTTTTTTTAATATTTTATTTTAAAAAAATAAAGATTTTATTTATTTTATTAATGAGACACACAGGGGATCCCTGGGTGGCACAGTGGTTTAGCGCCTGCCTTTGGCCCAGGGCACGATCCTGGAGATCCAGGATCGAATCCCACATCGGGCTCCCGGTGCATGGAGCCTGTTTCTCCCTCTGCCTGTGTCTCTGCCCCCCCCCCCCTCTCTCTCTCTCTCTCTGTGTGTGTGTGACCATCATAAATAAATAAATAAATAAGTATATTAAAAAAAAAAAAAAGACCTGATCTGAGATCAAGAGTCAGACACTTAATCAACTAAACCACCCAGGCACCACAAAGCCTGATTAAAAAACAACTCGGGGGGATCCCTGGGTGGCGCAGCGGTTTGGCCCCTGCCTTTGGCCCAGGGCGCGATCCTGGAGACCCGGGATCGAATCCCACGTCGGGCTCCCGGTGCATGGAGCCTGCTTCTCCCTCTGCCTGTGTCTCTGCCTCTCTCTCTCTCATTCTATGTGACTATCATAAATAAATAAAAATTTAAAAAATTTTAAAAAAAATTTTAATGAGACACACAGAGAGAGAGGGAGGGAGAGGCAGAGACACGGGCAGAGGGAGAAGCAGGTTCCATGCAGGGAGCCCGATGTGTGACTTGATCCCGGGACTCCAAGATTACGCCCCAGGCCAAAGGCAGGCGCTAAACCGCTAAGCCACCCAGGGATTCCCTCTCTCTCTGTTTTCTTTTCTTTTTATTTTTTTTGATTTTTATTTATTTATGATAGTCACACACAGAGAGAGAGAGAGGCAGAGACACAGGCAGAGGGAGAAGCAGGCTCCATGCACCGGGAGCCCGACGTGGGATTCGATCCTGGATCTCCAGGATCGTGCCCTGGGCCAAAGGCAGGCGCTAAACCGCTGCGCCACCCAGGGATCCCTCTCTCTATTTTCTTAATGTTAAGATTGATCACTAGGTTCGGGTGATGCTAGCCACATCCATTCATTATAAAGTTCCCCATCTGCCTATCACCTAATGTTATTAGTGGCCCATTCCTAAAGGACTAGAAGTTAGCCAGGCAGGAAGTTGGCTGGGATGAAGATATTTCAAGAACAATAAACATGTGCAGAATCACCAAAAAGCAAAAAAGCATAGTGTGTTCAGAGAATTGTAGGTACTTTGGTGTGGCTAGAGTACAAGGTATGAGAGAAATGTGGGAGGAAAGTTGAGGCTAGTAAAGGTTGGGAGGGCCAGATAAGAATCATCTTGAAAGCCATGCTAAGTATTTCTCACTATCTTTAAGTCAGTGGGGAGGAACTAAAGGATATTTATTAAGCAGGGAAATGACTTTTGTTTGTCTCATAGAAAGCTTAGGTGATGGTAGGAGGATCATTTGAGGGGTTACTTCAACAGTCCAGAATATAAATGAGGGGACTGTGCAACAAGACATTTACAGGGAGAATGAAGAGATTTCCGAGGTAAAAATTGGTGAATGATAAGCTGTTGGGATAATGGAAAAGCTTAGGAAAATTCTTAAGCAAACTGAAGTTGATTGAATGACAAAGTTTAGGATAAGGATGGCAACTTTCTGACAGACTTAAAGAGAACAAATACGCAATAAAATTTAACAAGTAGAAGCAGAACAAAATCTCAAAAAATTTAAAAGCCAGGCAGAGAGTTTGAGTGAATGAGTTACAGAGAAACACTGAGGGTTCTTTAGCTTGGTGACATGATAAAAAGCACATGTTAGAGAAGTTAACATGCACATTATATCTGGGGCTTGGTAAGACTTGAAACTGCAGGGATCCCTGGGTGGCGCAGCGGTTTGGTGCCTGCCTTTGACTCAGAGCGCAATCCTGGAGACCCGAGATCGAATCCCACGTCGGGCTCCCGATGCATGGAGTCAGCTTCTCCCTCTGCCTGTGTCTCTGCCTCTCTCTCTCTCTCTCTCTCTCTCTCTGTGACTATCATAAATAAATAAAAATTAAAAAAAAAAGACTTGAAAGTAGATAAACAAAGTTGGTGCAATTGAGGCATGAGTAAAAAGGCCTATGTGGGAATGAAAAAAAGAACCAAACTTGACAGACCAGAAATAGGAGATGTAAAGAGAAAAAAATGATTATAGATGATTTAAGGTTTGAAATTTGGGAGGCCAGAAGAATAGCAACAACACTAATAGAAATGGACTGGCTGGAAGGAAGGCAATTTAAGAGGGAGGAAGATGTGTTTTGAATACAATAAGCTTAAAGTTAAAAACAAGATATTGAAATGAGTATATCCTGGACACAGCTGAAAATGGAGGAATGAGGCTATAACCCAAGGTAGAAGCCCAGTATAGAGATACAGATTTGAAAATCATCATTAAAATGATAGTTGATGCCACAAAAGTAAATGCTTCAACAGTGCTGAATAAGTGCTACAGATTATGTCTTGGGGGAAATCTGTAGAAATGGGGCAGGAACAGAAAAATAAAGCAATATAGGTGGTAAAATGGAGTGGCTTTTAGACTTAAGGACTGAGTTCTATTCATCTTTGATACCCATGCCTGCCACAGGACAAATACTCCCTAAGTGTCTGTTAAATGAATGAATTATTACTGAAGAAAGGACTAGGAAAGAACCATCTCAAACAAGTAAGGGGTGAAAGGGAGTTAACAGCTTTAAAGCATCCACTCTGCCCTCTGAAATACTTCCGACCAGAGGTGCCCAAATTTTTCTACTTCATGGCATCCTTAAGTTCTTGGTGATCTTTTTACAGCACCCCTGGGCCAAAGAAATACTGATTATCTGTTAAGTCCAAAACATCTTACTATGTATTTATGTTCTAATAATTTAGTAACCATTTGAAAAAATAATACACCTAAATTGAAAATAATAGGGGCATGTGGGTGGCTGAGTTGGTTGGGCATCCAACTCTTGGTTTCAGCTCAGGTCATGATCTTAAGGTCGTGGGATAAAGCCCCACATGCAGCCCAGAATTTGCTTCTCCCTCTTCCTCTGTTCCTCCCCCACTCCCACATGTGCACTCTAAGAAATAAGGAAATAAAATTTTTTAAAAGGAAAATAATATTTAAATTTCATTCTTTTAAGATTATTTATTTATTTATTCATGAAAGACACAGAGAGAGAGAGGCAGAGACACAGGCAGAAGGAAAAGCAGGCTCCCCACAGGGAGCCTGATGCAGGACTTGATCCCAAGACGCCAGGATCACAACCTGAGCCAAAGGCAGATGCTCAATCACTGAGCCACCCAGGTGCCCCAAATTTCATTCTTATTAAGCACAATTAATCCTAATGGGTTATATGCACCTACTAATTAAAGCACAACTTTTCAAACCTCAGAATCTGACTGACACTGACACCCTCATCTCTTATTCCACATTATTTTCATGTGGTGCTTGCTTTTAATCACAGCCACTGAAAGCCCAGCTCCACAAAGACATGACATCATCAAAAGGAATGTAATGCAATCTAATGCTGAAACTGTAAATGACTCTGAGCTAGTAGTGCCTGTAGTATCCAAAAGATGTTGAATATTCTGTGTTTCACTTAAAATTTAAAGTATTGTGTAATGCTCTTGTGAGTTCACTGCAGACCTCCAGGGAGCCTGGGCGGATGGTTGGGAAAGTGTATCTTTAAACTATTGAGAGGGAAAGATTTCAAGGAATGATAGTCAATAGTGCAGAGATACTAAAGAGGATACGAATTTTTTTAAAAAGTCACTGGTTTGGGCAGAAAAAAAAAAGAGACTTCAGATAATCTTTAACATTTAAGTTTAGTAGAATGGCAATAAAAGAAGTCAGATTGCAGGGAGTTAAGAAGGGAATAAATATATTGAAAGAGAAAGGAGAAAGAGCGTCTGGCAATGATGAAAGAAAGAGTGGCTGAATACTTGAAGAAATGTGTGGGAAATACCAGAAAGGGAGACAGAACATAAAGACTCCTAACTCTGGGAAATGAACTAGGGGTGGTGGAAGGGGAGGAGGGCGGGGGGGTGGGGGTAAATGGGTGACGGGCACTGAGGGGGACACTTGACGGGATGAGCACTGGGTGTTATTCTGTATGTTGGTAAATTGAACACCAAAAAAAATTAATTTATTAAAAAAAATGAATACTTGAAGAGACAGCAAGTCACATCAAGTATTTAGATTTTTCCTTCTCTCTCTTTTCTAAAATTTTTATTTACTTAAGTATCTCTATACCCAACATGAAACTCAAACCCACAACCCTGAGATTAAGAGTTGCATGCTCCTCTAAATGAGCCAGCCAGGCGCCATAAGATTTTTCTTTTTTAGATGAAGAGAAATAAACATAGTTTATGGCAGGACAAAAGGAGCTAAAGAATAGAAAGGTAATCAAAAGAAAGACTTCATAAGTACTAAAACGGGGAGGAAAAAGAGATGGGATTCAGATTATAGTTAGATATAGCTAAGTTTTAGAGCACTAGAGACAAACTTTACATCCAAGACTAAAGAATAATGTTATTTTGAGCCTAACATAGAATAGCCTCAATTTTGTCCATAGAGCTGAGTGAGACCCTAAAAGAGGAAATATTAGGGTATGGAGGGGAAGGGAGGTCAGGTTAAGCATTGTGGAACATTTATAGGGATCTTGCAGAAAAAATAAAATAATGGGGCATGGAACACTAGAAACATTTACATATTAACAATAGACATAAAAAATAGATATTGTTTAATATTTAATGTGTTTTTAAAGAATACTTAAAGTCTTGTGTTTAAAGCATTATTCAGAATACATGCCTATTGCCACTCTGAAAATATAAAAAATGTTTACCTTACTCAATAAAGTTAAATTTGTAGATGGTATTAATTGTGATAAAAATAGAATAAAGTAACAAAAAGTATTAGCTGTGGTGATTCTTACAAATAAATACTGGGAGCACAGGCTAGTGCAGACAGGAAGTATTGATCTGAATGTTTTATTATACCCCAGACTGTTAAATTTCTTCAAAGGAAATAAAGTTTAAATCACACAGATAGAACTATTACAAATCCTAGTTAATTAATATCATACAAAGTTTTAATTACAAAACAACTGTAATTGAAGAATATTTACCTGAGCATCTATACTTTAACATTTTGGGATGATTGTCTGTTGCCAGAAAACTGATGGCTTCTTCATCTATTATATCTGAACATAATGTAAATGGATCTGGAAAAAAAAAACTGCAACATGTAAGATTCTTTTGATTAATGAAAAGGACCGGACATTGATGTAATATATTAATTTTCAAGATTTTCATAAACTTTAGCACAGTACTACATATCTAATCATCCTAGTAGATAAACAAAGATTCTGGTTATCAGTAAAAGATGATTGAAGCTCTTACACCAGAAAGAGAGTCAAAGGTATGGCTTTTACGTTATAATGCAAATATACCAATATACATTTTCAGCTATCTTAGTCACCTAAATATGTTTCTTAAAAAAATCAAAGAAATATTTTTAATCATACCTGTTAATGGCAACTGTGGCTTTCCATTTTTGATGGGAATTGGATGTTTAAAAACATGGTCACTAAAAGAAAAGAGACACCAGATAATTAGAGTAAACATACTGTTTGATGTATGGACAAATGGTCCTGTAGGCAGTGGTGTAATTCTGGGCATTTGGCAGCCAGGAGACGAAACCAGGGTCTACTAAAGTCTTCCAAAATAGCATTTGTAATGGTTATAGCCGGGTTTCCAGAAGTGGAGTTATACAAGACTCTAAAGGACAATAATAGTGATACCAGCAGAAACATGGGAAAAAATTATAAAAGAAGAAAATATGAAAAAAAAAAAAAAAGAAAATATGGGGGCAGCCCGGGTGGCTCAGCAGTTTAGTGCCGCCCTCGGCCCAGGGCATGATCCTGCAGTCCAGGGATCGAGTCCCACGTCGGGCTCCCTGCATGGAGGGAGCCTGCTTCTCCTTCTGCCTGTGTCTCTGCCTCTCTCTCTCTGTTTCCCTCATGAATAAATAAAACATCTTTTTTTAAAAAAAGAAGAAAATATGGGGCACCTGGTTGGCTTAGTCAGAAGAGCATAAGACTCTTGATCTTGATCATGGGTTTGAGACCTGCATTGGGTATAGGTATTACTGAAATAAACTTAAAGAAAAAAAGAAAAATAGGAAAAGAATAAGGGCAAAAAGGGGGAGAGAACAAAATCAGAGGACCAGAGAGCATGAAGGCTGGCTGGAGAACACATCTTGTTTTGTTTTAAAGGTTTTATTCATTTATTCATGAGAAACACAGAGAGGGGAGAGAGGGACACAGGCAGAGGGAGAAGCAGGCTCCATGCAGGGAGCCCGATGCGGGACTCCTTCCCAGGTCTCCAGTATCATGCTCTGGGCCGAAGGCGGCGCCAAACTGCTGAGTCACCCCAGGCTGCCCTGGAGAACACATCTTGATGCTCTCTGATTCCACATTCCTGAGAAATCAAGCTCAAATTGACAACAAGAATTGTTTTGAAAAGGAAAAAGGGGGTGGTGATAATGTAATCCATCTCCCCAATATTCTGTTCATTCTGTAACCTTTCCAGAATATAACAGCATACTCTTCAGTTTGCCTCCTGGAACCGAGGAAAGAACACAAGGGTTTAAGAAAAGCTACAATCCCAGGTTCAGCCCCACGAACAACCTAAGGCAGAAAGGATATGAACTGGAGGTGACATACAAGGAATAAGTAAGAAGGCAAATCTAAGGCAGATTTTCATCACACACTACTCCCTTTTATCAAATTAAATTTACAAACTGGTTTTTGCTATATTGCTGATGGATTATCAATGTATACATTGTTACACACTGTATAGGGTTTCAGGTTAAGTTTTCTGAATATCCTTTCTAAAATTCAAATTTGATGTTACTCAATTTAAAATCCTCAAATGGCTTTCATGTCCCATGAGGGAAAACCACAAATCCTGAGTATGACATGTAAGGCCCTAGATGAACAGGCTCATACATCCCCAACCAAACTCCCTTCCCAATATTTCCATTTAGGCTCAAGACCATGTTTTATCATTTCTATATCCAGGGCTTAACAGTGTGACACAAAGTACTGCACAAAAAATATCTAAATACATAAAAGTTAGAAAAAATTATTATTAAACTATACCTCGATTGAGAAACAGAATTCTTTTCTTCAAAAGTTGTTTGTCCATGTAAATTTTGATTATAGCTTGAATTGGCTTTACATAAAGTCTTATTTTGCACACTCTCCCTATAACAAGCATCAACTGGATTTGCACTCTTTAACAGGGTCTTCATTTGGTGATCATTTGCACATCCATGGGACTTATAACTCTGAAGCTTTCTAGACTGGCTTTTATCTTTATCTTCTGCTGTAGGACCTCTGCCAAGACTATCTGCATGGAGGTGTTTCAATGTGTTTTGAATATCTATGTTCACTGATGAAACATTATCCTTATCTTTTTCTCTTTGTATTTCTTCCTATAATGTAAAAATGACAAGTAAGTAATCTCAAAATAATCTGTTTGCTTTATAATCCAATTTACACTCCCTTTAAATAATGTAGGAAAATTTCATGACAGTCAATAGAACATGATATACAATCAATATACATGATAAAAGGCATTGGAAGAAAAGGGAATATATTCAATAAATAATCCGGGGACAACTGGGTAGCCATCTGGGGAAAAAATAAATTGGATCCCAATCTCAGAATGTACACAAAAATAATCAAAATGAGCTAAATATTGTCATACAGAAAATGAAACTTCTTTTTTAAGATTTTATTTATTTATTCATGAGAGACACACAGAGAGAGGCAGAGACATGGGCAGAGGGAGAAGCAGGATCCACGCAGGGAGCCTGTTGCGGGACTCGGTTCCTAGACTGGGATCACACCCTGAGCTGAAGGCAGACGCTCAACCACTGAGCCACCCAGGCATCCCAAAACTTTATGTTTTAAAAGAAAATCGATTTTAACATTCTTAAGGAGAAGACCTTTCCAAATATCACACAAAATCAATTAATCATAAAAGAAAAAATATATATTTGATCATAGGAAAAATGTTTTTCAATGTTCTGTACAGACCAAGAACAATGTGAGTAGGTGGAAGAGGAACTCAGAAGAATAAAGAGTCAGAAGCAAAATCAAATGATAATCAAAACATCTAAAAAGAATATGTATTAAGTCATATCTTGGGGTATGATTTTTTATTAGCACTTATAAAAAGCTACTACAATGAAATATGAAAAAGATTAACAACAATGTAGAAAAGTAGGAAAAGGAGATAAACAGTTAACAGGAAAGGAAATATAAATAGCTAAGAAAAAGAGCTACCATATCCACCAACAGACAATTCTGCAACTGTAAATAAATAAAGGAGGGGTCACTTGGCTGGTTCAGTTGCTAGAGCATGCAACTTTTGATCTTAGGATTGTGAATTCAAGCCCCACATTGGGCATGGTGCCTGCTTAAAAAAATTTTATTTCTGAAGTGCTTAGGTGGCTCAGTCAGTTGGGAGTCTGATTCTTAATTTCAGCTCTAGTCATGATCTCAGGTCCTGAGACTGAGGGCGTGTGCTTGAGATTCTCTCTCTCCATCATCTTCTGCCCCCCACTTTCTCTCTAAAAAGATAAAATATTAAAATAAAGAGATAAACAAAGAGGGCTTCTGGTAAAGATGATGAATTTAACACCACCATTTATGTTTGGCCTTCCAAAAAACCCAACTGAACAACAGGGTTTTAAAAAAATATATTTTTAAAATTTATTCATTTGACAGAGAGATCACAAGCAAGGAGAACAGTAGGGAGAGGAAGAGGGAGAAGCAGGCTCCCCATTGAACAGGGAGCCCAACGTGGGGCTCAATCCCAGGACCCTAGTCATGACCCGAGCTGAAGGCAGATGCTTAACTGACTGAGCCACCCAGGCACCCTTGAACAACAAATTTTAAAAAGTCATAAACCTACAGGAACAGGGGAAATGAAAGAAATAAAGGCAACACAAGTTTGGAAATTGGAAAGCAAACAGGTGAATGATAAGCGGTTTTGATAAAGCTGAATCCAAAGCTGACAATGGAAAAAGTTAAGAAACTACCTAGGATGTGCCACCAAAGTTTCAAAAAGGCTTAGGAATTGGAGGTATTGGAACGTCTAAAGATGAGATGAAGATGGTGCTAAAAATAGAAAGACTGGATGAGGGATCCCTGGGTGGCGCAGCGGTTTGGCACCTGCCTGTGGCCCAGGGCGCAATCCTGGAGACCCGGAATTGAATCCCACGTCGGGCTCCCGGTGCATGGAGCCTGCTTCTCCCTCTGCCTGTGTCTCTGCCTCTCTCTCTCTCTCTCTCTCTCTCTCTCTGTGACTATCATAAATAAATAAAAATTTAAAAAAAAAAGACTGGATGAAAGTCTGTTTGAGAAATAGGTGGATTACAGGGGGGCCTGGGTGGCTCAGTCAACTGAGCATCCAACTCTTGATCTCAGCTCAGGTCTTTTTTTTTTTTTCAATTTTTATTTATTTATGATAGTCACAGACAGAGAGAGAGAGAGGCAGGGGCACAGGCAGAGGGAGAAGCAGGCTCCATGCACCAGGAGCCCGACGTGGGATTCGATCCCGGATCTCCAGGATCGCGCCCTGGGCCAAAGGCAGGCGCTAAACCGCTGCGCCACCCAGGGATCCCTCAGCTCAGGTCTTAATCTCAGAGTTGTGAGTTCAGACCTGGCATTGGGCTCCAGGCTGGATGTGGAGCCTTCTTAAAACACACACACCACCACCACCACCACCACCACCACCACCACCACCACCAACAACACCACAACAACAACAACAACAACAACAGGGCAGCCCCGGTGGCCCAGCGGTTTAGCGCCACCTTCAGCCTGGGGTGTGATCCTCGAGACCCTGGATCGAGTCCCACGTCGGGTTCCCTGCATGGAGCCTGCTTCTTCCTCTGCCTGTCTCTGCCTCTCTGTGTGTCTGTCATGAATAAATAAAATTAAAACAAAACAAAAACCAACAGGGCAGTCCCAGTGGCTCGGGGTTTAGCACCGCCTTCAGCCCAGGGCATGATCCTGGAGACCCGGGATCGAGTCCCACGTCGGGCTCCCTGCGTGGACCCTGCTTCTCCCTCTGCCTGTGTCTCTGCTTCTCTCTCTCATGAATAAGTAAATAAAATCTTTTAAAAAAACAACAACACATAGTTGTTTTACTAGATCTCGACCCTTGTATATATAAGTGTATATATATATTTAAGTATGTGTGTGTCTGTGTGTATACACAGTGTTGACTGACACCAGAAGGCTGAAACTGAATCTTTCCCCAAGGTTGAAAGTTGAATCTCTGGAAGGGATAAAACAGAGTCTCTACATTGGAGGACACCAAACAAAACTGAAGGCAGAATACTATTCAAGAAACAAATCTAAGCAAATATTCACATATTGAATACTAAGACCCACAAGCTCTCTTCTCCCATTTTGAGTCCAGAAAACTGGCTGACAATCTCTAGGCAGGAGAGCAGATTTTGGAAGTTCTCTCCAAAAATGACCCATCTAATCAATCCTATGAGAATCCATAATCAACAAATTTTCAGAAAGACTTTTACTACCTGACTCCTAAATATGAATAGCAACCATAGGTCACCAGAAATATGGAGAAAGCTAGAGACTCGAAGGAAGGAAGGAAGGAAGGAAGGAAGGAAGGAAGGAAGGAAGGAAGGAAGGAAGGAAGGAAGGAAAGGGAAGGGAGGGGAGGGGAGGGGAGGGAAAAAAGAGAGACAGCAAGCTAGCAAGCAAAAAGGCAAGCAAGTTCAAAGGAAAAAGATTCAAAAAGTTCAGACCAGGAAGAAAAAAAACTTTGTTTAAAAGACTTATTTATTTGAGGGAGGGAGAGGGGGAAGGAGAAAGAAAGAGAGAAAGAGAGAGCGAGTGAGTGAGTAAACACATGAGCAGGGGGAGGGGCAGAGGGAGACAAGCAGACTCTTTGCTGAGAGTGGAGTCTGATGTGAGGCTTGATCCCAGGACCCTGAGATCAAGACCTGAGGCGAAACCAAGAGTCGGACACTCAACTAACCAAGCCACTCGGGCGCCCTAGAGGAAAAAAATTTTAATAAAAATTTTCATGAGGGATGCCTGGGTGGCTCAGTTGGGTAAAGGGGCCAACTATTGGTTTGGGTTCAGGTCATGATCTCAGGATCTGGGGATCAAGCCTCATTTCAGGCCTGGGCTCAGTGGGGAGTTTGCTTTTCTACCTCTCTCTCCCTCTCCCTCCACTCATATGCTTTCTTTCTAAATAAATAAATAAAAATTAAAAAAAGGAAAATTATCATTGATATATTTATGAGAAGACGGCCAATCATCTCTTAAGTCCATTAAATAAGAATAAGAACATTTAAATGGAGTAAAAAAAAAAAGAGGCTTTCGTAACTACAAATATGATAGCAGAAGTGAAAAACATATTGGTTTAAAAAATAAAGATGAGAACACTTCCTAAAATGTAGAACAAAAAAAGAGAATAATATGGGATCCAGGAAACAAGAAATCAAACTAGGGAGGATAAAAAGAGAAATCTATGAAATGATGATAAAGGAATATCCCAGGGTAATAGTTCTATACTTGCCCTAAGGGATGTTATTAATTTATTGCTCCTCAGCTCCAAACCCAACCTTCTTCACCCAACATTGTAAAACTGAAACTAGACTCTATGACTGCTATTCTATGGCTAGCATTGATGTTAGTCTCTGTTATTAGCAAGTACTAGAAGTATAATACAAGATTGGAGAGAAATAAGGGACTTTTTCTCCTTTTGGTGTTCTGGCAAGTGGAAGTAGATGCATTATAACAGAGGTTCATAATTTCTTTAAGGTATAATTGTCCAGTGATTCCACTCCTAGGTATCTATCCAAGAGAAATGAAAATGCAAACTTCCCACAAAGAATTGTCAGCCGTTGTTCACAGTAACATTATTCACGGTGCCAGGATCTAGAAGCAATCCAAATATCATCAACCGGTGAATAAACAAGTTGTAGTACATCCATATTATGGAATATTCAGTCAGCAGTAAAAAGCAACAAATATTAACAAAATTGGTTTATCTCAAATACATTACACATTAAGTAAAATAGGTCAAACAAAAAAATAGGTCAAACACAAAAGATTATTTAAGATATAATTCAATTTATGTGAAATTATATAAAAAGAAAACTAGCAATGAAAAACACATCACTGGGGATTCCTGAGTGGCTCAGTGGTTTGGTGCCTGCCTTTGGCTCAAGGCGTGATCCTGGAGACCCAAGATCGAGTCCCACATCGGGCTCCCTGCATGGAGCCTGCTTCTCCCTCTGCCTGTGTCTCTGCCTCTCTCTCTCTCATGAATAAATAAAGTATTAAAAAAAAAAAAGAAAAACACATCAATGACTGCCTGGGCCTGAAGATGGGGAATGGGACTGTCTACAAAAGGATACTAAGAAACATTTTAAGGTGAGTGAACTGTTCTATTATTTTAATTGTGGTAGTTATGCAATAGTATAAAATTATCATAAACTGTACAATTAAAATGTGATTATCATTGTATGTAAATAGTATCTTAAATTTTCAGAAAAAAATTTAAAGCAAAAGAGTAACATTACTGGGCAGTTTATAACAATGTAGCAGTAAAATAATATATGGCAACAACAACACAAAGAACAAACTGATATGTGAGCATGCTATTGCAAGCATCTTACAATATACATTAATGGAATAGTATTAGTTGAATATAGACCATGATCAGTTAAAGATGTATAGTATAAACCCTAAAGCAATCACTTAAAAAACCAGGAATGTTTAGCTAATAATCTAAAGTGAGCTAGAATATCTTAAAATGATATAAATGAAGAAAGGAGAGTAGAAAAGAACAGTGAACAAATGGTATAAATAGGAAAAAAGTAGCAATATGGTAGACTTAAACCCAAACATACTAATATTTACATTAAACATAAATGAAGTGATCACATCAATTAAAAACTAGAAATTGTCATACAGGATTTTAAAAAGGCCAAACTATATGCCGTCTACAAGAACCCATGGTAAAGACATAGATTATGAGAGTATGTCCATCAATGAATGGATAAACAAAATGTGATATACTCACACAATGGAAAACTATTTGGCCATAAAAGGGAATGAAGTACTGAAACACACTAAAACGTGGATGAATGTTGAAAACATGCTACATGAAAGAGGCCAGTCACAAAAGATCACATATTACATAATTTCATTTACATGAAATATCCAGAATAGGCCAATCTATAGAGATAGAAAGAAGATTGTGCATGGCTGGAAATGGGGGATGCAGGCAAGTAGTTAAAGGGTACAGAGTTTCTTTCTGAAGTGATGACAATATTCTAAATTTGACCATAGTTGCACGTATCCGTAAATATACTAAACTACTGAATTACATACTTTAAATGGGCAAATTGTGTGGTATGTGAATTACATCTCAATAAAGCTTTTTAAAAAAGGAATGAAATACTGATATAAACATGCATAAACCTTGCAAACATTATGCTAAATGTAAGAAGCCAGTCATAAAAGGTCACATGTTATAAAATTCAAATTTATATAAAACAAATTAAGAAAAAAAGAAAAAATCCATATAAAAAGTCCAGAATAGGCAAATATATAGGGACAGAAAATAGTTTAGTGGTTGCCTAAACTGAGGAGGTAGGGAGAACGGATGGAGGAAATATGAAGGGTGACTGCTAAAAGGTATGAGGTTTTATTTTAGGATGATAAAAGTATTCTAAGATTGTGGTAATGGTTGCACAATTCTGTAAGTATACTAAAAACCAATGAAATGTATACTTTGAACAGGTCAATCGAATCAAATGTGATTTACATCTCAGTAAAGCTGTTACAAAAATTATATATATGGCAGGATGTTTACTCGAGAGTTGTCTACACTGGGCACAGATTGATTATAATCTGACTATCCTTCAACAAAAGACTAGTTAAATAAATTTATAATGATCTCTAATAATGAATATTAGTCATTTAAAAGAATGAAATTACATACTATTATACTAAGGTGAGCACTATGCTTTTATTTTTTTAAATTTTTTTTTTAATTTTTATTATTATTTATTTATGATAGTCACACAGAGAGAGAGAGAGAGGCAGAGACACAGGCAGAGGGAGAAGCAGGCTCCATGCACCGGGAGCCCGACGTGGGATTCGATCCTGGGTCTCCAGGATCGCGCCCCGGGCCAAAGGCAGGCGCCAAACCGCTGCGCCACCCAGGGATCCCTGCTTTTATTTTTAAAAATGCATGTACAGGGTGCCTAGGTGGCTCAGTCAGTTGAGTGTCTGACTCTTGACCTCAGCTCAGATCTTGATCTCAGGGTGTGACTTCAAGCCCCATGTTGGACTCCATATTGAGCTTGGAGCCTACTTAAAAAATAAATGAAAATGGATGTGCATACAAAGACACAAAGCATACATACACAGAAAAAGTACTAAAACGTACACATATACATATTCACATATGTAAAGAAAGAGATTATTACTTCTCCATCCTTTTTCTCTTATACAAACTTTGGATCTCTATCTTCCATGTCTTATTTTTTCAGCATTAATCTCCACTTTTTAAAAATCTTTTTCTTCCTATTCTCAAAGATGGATTCTCAAGTATCAATAATGAATTTTAAATTTGAAACCATTAAGATCTGGGTCTCCTGAATGGCCAGTCAGTTAAGTATTGGACTCTTTTTTTTTTTAAGGTTTTATTTATCTATTCATGAGACACCACAGAGAGAGAGAGAGAGAGAGAGGCAGAGACATAGATGGAGGGATAAGCAGGCTCCACACAGGGAGCCCGATGCAGGACTCGATCCCCAGACTCCAGGACCACGCCCTGAGCTGAAGGCAGATGCTCAACCACTGAGCTACCCAGGCGTCCCAAGTGGTGGACTCTTGATTTTGGCTCTGGTCATGATCTCCTGGGTTGTGGGATCAAGCCTTGTGATGGGCTAAGTGCTCAGTGGGGGGGTCTGTCTGCTTGAGATTCTCTCTCTGCCTCTCCCTCTCCCCCCCACCCACACTCACTCAATCTCTCTCTCTCACTAGAACAAATCTTTTTATTTCTTTTCATTTTTATTTTTTAAAAAGATTTTATTTATTTGTCAGAGAGAGAGAAAGAGCACTAGCAGGGGGAATGGCAGGTATAGGGAGAAGTAGGCTCCCTGCTGAGCAAGGAGCTCAATGTAGTACTTGATCCCAGGGTCCTGGGATCATGACCCAAGCTGAAAGCAGACACTTAACTGGCTGAGCCACCCAGGCATCCCTAGAACAAAGCTTTTTTTTTAAATATTGAAGTAAAAAAAAATAACTTAGCAAGAAAAATCTTTTACCCTCCAACCTCTACTGTAGAAAATACTTGAAAAGAGCTCTATATTCTTTGAAACAAAAAGCCAACCTCATTTCTTTCTCTTTCAAGGTGTTCTAGTCTGTGTAGAAGTTCCTTTGCTTTTTTCCAGTACTCTTCAAAATTCTTCTCTTTAGTATTTATGTATTTTAATTGTTCTTCATTTTCACCAAAAGGATATTCTCCTAGACTTAGAGATAGTTTCTCAGCTTTGTAACATGGGAAAAAATAGTGAATTTATCCATTAGTATAATGGGTTTTTTTGACACTTTAAACTATTTTTTTTATTTTTTATTTATTTATGATAGTCACAGACAGAGAGAGAGAGAGTCAGAGACACAGGCAGAGGGAGAAGCAGGCTCCATGCACCGGGAGCCCGACGTGGGATTTGATCCCGGGTCTCCAGGATCACGCCCTGGGCCAAAGGCAGGCGCCAAACCGCTGCGCCACCCAGGGATCCCTTTTTTGACACTTTAAATATAATTTTAATACTTTTAATAAGGACAACATCATACCCCATACCCCCTCCTCTAAATTTTGCCCATCCAGACTATCTTAATTGTTTAGGTAGTACTAAAAATAAAAGGAAAGCAAGTGGTTGGCAGAAGCCCAAGCCCCAGTCATAAATTAGAACTTTACTCTTCAGAGTTAGAAGAGAAAGAACATTATGAAAATATGTTATGCCAGGCACATAAACATCCTCAGGTATGTGGAAACTGGTGTTAAGGTAGTGTTTTTTTTTAGCAGTTTTCATAAAGCAGTTCTTCCCTATAATCTTTAAGTTTTCTTTTTACATATTGCAGCAGCAGCAATTTTTCTTTCATAAAGACCAATTCAAAGGCCATGATTCCTTCAATGCATGCTCCCTCCTATCACAGGGTCTTTGTGTGCCTCACTGTTGCTTATGGCTGACCTAGTTAACACTATACATTCAGATCTCAGCTCAAGAGTCACTTCCTCTGAAGCCTTTTCTGCTGCAAGTTGAGGTCACAGTATTTTGTTATATTCTAAGATCTATGCTCCATTCATTCCTAACCCTTAGGTTAATATTTAATAATTCATTCATTTTTTTTAGATTTTTCGATGATTATTTATCTAGTTAAAATTAGCTCTATGAGTGCAGACTGTTGTTTCTTAATAACTATATCCCTAAAACCTAGCACAGTGCCTGGTAAATAACAGGCACTCAAATATGTTTTAAATAAGTAAACAAATGTAATTTATAATTTAACTGTAAGTTACCTGTAGGCCTCAAATTTAAGTCCTACAACTAAATTGTCCACTTTGCATAAAATAAGTGAATTATCTATACTGTTGCTCTCTTCCACATAGGTTTTTTATATGCTGAAATACTCTAGTTGTCATATCCAAATTATATATTCTGCTTTTCAAACATAAGAAGAGACTGGGAGCCTAAGGGGTTTGGTTCATCAAAGAAGATAAACTTCAGTATTTTTTTTAAGTAACAATAAACTTACCAATTTTTTTGCAATTGTGAAGCACAAAAGTGGCAGCTTTGTTTAGTTCCTCATTCTGTGATTCAGTTAAGGCTTGTATCATGAGTGGAAGACCATTGTATTTAAAAAGATCATACTGATTTTCCTCTGGAAAACATATCAAAAATGAAAACGGAATACAGTTATTTTTTCATATACTATCTACATAAGGTCATAATTGTTCCTTGTGATTTTTTAAAAAGATTTTATTTATTTATTCACGAGAGACACAGAGAGGCAGAGGGAGAAGCAGGCTCCCTGTGGGGAGCCTGTTGCAGGACACAATCCCAGGACCCCAGGATCACAACCTGAGCCGAAGGCAGATGCTCAACCATTGAGCCACCCCAGTGACCCTCTTCTTTGTGATAATTATGAACGTAGTTTTTTTTTTTTTTTAAATTTTTGTTTTTATTTATTTATGATAGTCACACAGAGAGAGAGAGAGGCAGAGACACAGGCAGAGGGAGAAGCAGGCTCCATGCACCGGGAGCCCGATGTGGGATTCGATCCCGGGTCTCCAGGATCGCGCCCTGGGTCAAAGGCAGGCGCCAAACCGCTGCGCCACCCAGGGATCCCATGAACGTAGTTTAAATCTTAAGAAAGAGTAAAACAAATAGTTTCAAAAGTATTTTCCATTTAGGAAATTATCTTCTGATATAAAATAGCTGTCTCATAAGTGATGATCTCTGAAATACAGCTACAGGATAGAGTCATACCTCGTAAAACAAACAAACAAAAATAGCCCTCACGTGGTTTTAAAAAAAGTTATAGTTGGGGAAAAAATGGGTAAAAAAGGTATATTGTCAGATTAAACCTCAATAAAAAATAAAAAAAAATTTACAAGGTAGAATAAATCCAGAGCACCTGGGTGACTTAGTTGGATAAGCACCCAACTCTTGATTTCAGCTTAGGTCATGATCTCAGGGTTGTGGGATTGAGCCCCATGTCAGGCTCTGTGCTAGGTGTGGAGCCTGCCTAAGATTCTTTCTCTCACTCTCACTCCCCTCCTCCCTTCCCTCCCACTCTTTAAAAAAAAAAAAAAAAAAAAAAGGAGGTAGAAAAGGTAGAATACAAGGAGGAATTGATTCCAATTACATTGGTGAAAGATGTTGAGGGGCTAAGTGCCTAAACCGGCATTGGGCAGAAAGGGATAAGGAGGGGCACGGATGAAGGAAGATGAGGAGCAATATGACTAGTGTGCGGCCTGAATGACTTAAAGAAAGTTAGTACTTTCAAGTCTTTCATATGAAAATAAGAAAAAAAACAAAAATGGATTTCCACTCCACTATTTTAATAAGCACACTAAACAAATTCAATACTTACCACAATCCTCTGTGCAATGACCAAGAGTAAGTATGATGCTAAATTTTTCTCCTGAATCCAGACTTTCATGAAGCAGTAACGTCAGAAGTTTTGAAACAATCTGATACTTGGATAGTATTATTCCAAAAGTAGCTATTGGTATAAAATAGAAAAAAAAATAAACTTAAAACTTATAACTATATATATAACTATATATACATATATATATACACACACATATAAACTATTTGTCAGATCTTATCCTAGGAGAACAATACAATATCAATATAATATCTAATATTTGTATCTCATATGTATGTGACTATAAATGTATTGTAATAAGATAATAGCTTATATAGCCCTCATTAATCTCTCTTTTAAACTAAAGACAATTTATTAAAGCCTGTTTTATGAAGAATGGTTTCTTTTTAATTATCCTAGATTGCTGTGAAGTATGAAGTCAATAGTACACCTTCCTAAAAGGTGAATATACTTACTCCCACCTTACATAAGCCTTCTTATCTAGTGGACTATAGACCCCCCTATGTAACTAATTCCTGTCCGTCACTGAAATACATTATTAGCTGGCCATGGTTCTACTGATGTTAATGACACAGTGAAGAACACCTGAAGCTATGATGCCGTGTTACAAAATCCAAGAAGCTGACGTTTTAAGCTATACTTCTAAGGGGGTTTTAACAGAGTTCACCCAGCATCTAATAATATTTATACCAACAATAAGGTTGTAAATTCTTCAAGGGACTATATCTTTCTTTTTGCATATTTTTTATTGGAGTTCAATTTGCCAACATACAGCATAACACCCAGTGCTTATCCTGTCAAGTGCCCCCCTCAGTGCCCGTCACCCAGTCACCCCAACCCCCGCCCACCTCCCTTTCCACCACCCCTTGTTCGTTTCCCAGAGTTAGGAGTCTCTCATGTTCTGTCACCCTCACTGATATTTTCCATTCATTTTCTCTCCTTCCCCCTTTATTCCCTTTCACTATTTTTTATATTCCCCAAATGAGACCATATAATGTTTGTTCAAGGGACTGTATCTTAATCATTTTTGTAACTCTAGAGCTCACAAGAAGCCCAGCACAAACCAGGCCCTAAATAACTGACTTTTTAAAAAATCATCTTATTTTTCAGTTATTTGTGAATATCAAGAATTGCTTATTACATAGATTTACAGAATATCATTCCTCAGTGTCTCTATATGTGAGAAGCTGCCACAGGTTAAAGTCTGGATCTGCCACACGCTAATTACGGCTGGGTAAGTTAGATCCCATACTGATCAGAAAGAGGCATACCTTAATTCTTTATATAATTTTTAAAAACCTACAAATTGGGTTCTCCATTGCTTATCTTTCTATGATGTCCCTTCATTTCCCACCTAAAGTCTTTAATTTAATACTGCTTTTTCAGTGAAACAAAGGTTTAGAAATGACAGAATCTAACTTGAAGTCAAAGGACCTTGATTTGAACCCTTAGGGAAAGACATTTTTAAGATTCCCTCCCACTTGTGAGAAACTGAAAGTCCAGTCCATGTTTGTGTTCAGTCTACTATTTCAACACTCACCATGCTGAATTCAAACAAAACTCAAGTGCAGAAAAATTACTAAGCATGTTCACTCACGATTATCAGCAATACACGCATCCACTGTCTTTGTCACCACCACTGCAAGCTTAGCACTGGAAAGAGTCTTGTGTGAATCTGATTCCAGTTGCACAAGAACTTGAGACAATACATCCAGTCCACCCACAGATATAAAGTATTTCTGAACATATGCTTAAGGAATAAAGTAGCAGAACTATTAATAGAAGTGTTTGATCCATTCAATTAATTTACACTAAATATGACATTAACATGACTTTTTCAAATACTAAAAAGTCCCAAAACTAAAAAATGAAAAATTCAATCTTTACATGTGTATATACATAATCATAAAATGAACAGGTCATTTACTTGGGTAAAAAATGCACTTTTACATAGAACTAACTACATATATGGTACACTTTCTCATGTGTTAGATATTTTTTTTGTTTCATTTAGCAAGAACTGGTATATTTTGCAAGAATGACACTAGTAAACTCAAGTCCTTCAACAGAGATATGAAGAATACATTCATTCATTTAACTTGGTATTGCAATTAGCAAGCTGAATTCTAACATAACTCATTTCCCAGACTGCTTCAATCTACAAAGGGCAAAGTAATTATTCCAAAGGAACACGTATTTTATCTACTTTATTTAACTCTAATTCTTTTACTTCTTAGAACATAAAATTATAACATATTATTTAGAGTTATAACAACTATTCCAAGCACATTCAGTGAAAAATACATATTTTTAAAAGTCTGAAGCATCTTGTTCCCCTGTTGAAAATGATTCTGATGGGAAAGTATCCCATGGGTCTATGCATTCAATAGTCTTTACAGCCCCTATCCTAGCAGTGGGCTTCTTTTTTTTTTTTTTTTTTTAAATTTTTGTTTTTATTTATTTATGATAGTCACACAGAGAGAGAGAGAGGCAGAGACACAGGCAGAGGGAGAAGCAGGCTCCATGCACTGGGAGCCCGATGTGGGATTCGATCCCGGGTCTCCAGGATCGCGCCCCGGGCCAAAGGCAGGCGCCAAACCGCTGCGCCACCCAGGGATCCCAGCAGTGGGCTTCTAACAAATGGATACATAGGTGTGATTATAATTCTGCCACATATCTTCCCCAATCTACCCGAATACCACAAATTGAGCCAAAATGATTTAAATGAGAAAATTACTTTCTGTGTTCAGTAAAATATGAAGATCTTAACTTTGAAAAAAAAATCAAGTTCAGGGACACCTGGTTGGTACAGTTGGTTAAGACTCTTGGTTTTGGCTCAGGTCATGATCTCAGGGCTGTGAGACTGAGCCCTGTGTTGGGCTCTGTGCTCACTGCAGAATCAGCTTGGGATTCTCCTCCCTTTCTGCCCCTCCATGCTCATTCTCTCTTTCTCTCTATCAAATAAATAAATAAATCTTTAAAAATATTAAAAATCAAGTTCAGAATTTTCTACATCTGTGAAAGGAACTGTTAGGAAATGTTACTGAGGGATAAATATTTTCAATATTATAGAGACTCCAAAAGAGGCTTATATTCTGCAAGGTATTTTCTTTAAAAAACTCTTGAGGGCAGGCCCAGTGGCACAGCGGTTTAGTGCCGCCTGCAGCCTGGAGTGTGATCCTGGAGACCGGGGATTGAGTCCCGCGTCAGGCTCCCTGCATGGAGCCTGCTTCTCTCTCTCTCTCTGGGTCTCTATGAATAAGTAAATTTAAAAAATCTTAAAAAAAAAAAACAAACTCTTGAAAAAAGAAGTATTTTTAAATGCTTAAAAATGGCATTGTGGGGATCCCTGGGTGACGCAGGGGTTTGGCGCCTGCCTTTGGCCCAGGGCGTGATCCTGGAGACACGGGATTGAATCCCACGGGCTCCCGGTGCATGGAGCCTGCTTCTCCCTCTGCCTCTCTCTCTCTCTCTCTCTCTGTGTGTGTGTGTGTGACTATCATAAATAAATAAAATTTACAAAAAAATGGCATTGTGTTACCACAATTTCTAGTAATAGCCTACATAATAAAAATTCAGGCTTATAAGCAATAAGAACATTCTAGTCTACACTTGTACACTGAATATTTCAAATTTAATCTATATTTTCACACCAGTTTCCTGAGTAATGAGGTTCTAAAATTATTACTATTTCAAGTAGACTTTTAGAGAAAAGGGAAATGTCAAAACATCATGGAAAGAAAATCCAATTTTTGGAATTATAGAGGTATATTCCTTGCACATAAAACATGATTATTTGCTTTAAATATGTGAATATAGGTATATACCAACAATGTGTGATAAAGTTCTAGTTGCTCCAAATCCTTATCAACGTTTGATAATATTAACCTTTCTGCTTTTAGTCAGCATGAGTGTACAGTGGTATCCTTGGGGTTTTAGTTTGGATTTCTCTGATGACTAATGATTTCGAGCACCTTTTCAAAATTTTTTTCATTGCTTACTTAAAATTTAATATTCATATCTTCTTTGGTTAATTATTTGTCCAAATCTTGCCCATTTTTTAATCATTAGGTTTTTTGTCTTTCCGATTTTTAAGGGTTCTTATCTATATAATTTGGGTACAAGTTCTTTATCAGATGTACATTTCACAAATATTTTATCCCAGTCTATGGCTTGCCTTTTCATTTTAACATGTCTTTTGAAGAGTTAAAACTTTTAATTTCAGTGAAGTCCAATTTATCATTTTTTCCTTAATGGTTCATACTTTTTGTGTTCTACGAAATCTTGGTCTTCTACCAAGTTATAAAGATTTGCTCCTATGTTTTTGCATAGGAGTTTTTCAATTTCAGTTCTTAAATTTAGGTCTATGGATCATTTCAGGTTTATTTTTGTAAACAGTGTAAAATTAAGGTTGAGATTCATATTATGTGTATAGATATTCACTGTTTCCAGCACCATTTGTTGAAAAGACAAATTCCCACATGGAATTACTATGGCATCTTTGTAGAAAATTAACAACTATATATGTGTGGGTCTATTTCTGGGCTATTTTGTTCCATTGATCTGTCTACACCTATACCAATGCCACATTTTCTTGATTACTATATCAGAAGTATCAAAATCAAGTAATATAAATCCCTTAATTTTGACCTTTTCCAGAACAGTATTGACTATCCTGGTCCCTTTACATTTCCATGTAAATTTTAGAATCAATTTGTCAATTTCTACAGCAATGTCTGCTAGTATTTTGATGGGGGATATTTTGAATCAAGAGATGAATTTGAGAAATGCCATTTAATAATACTGAGTCTTAGAATCAATGAGTATATATCTCCCATTAATTTAGGTTTTCATTATCTTAGCAACATTTCCTAGTTTTCAGCATACAGACATTGCACAAATTTCATTAAGTATATCCCTATGTAGTTTTTTTATATGATTGTAAACAATAATTTACGTTCCCAATTACTTGTTGCTACTATACAGAAATACAGTTGATTTCTGTATATGACCTTGTATCCTAAAACCTGCTAAAATCACTTATTCATTCCTGTAGCTTTATTGTAGATTCTTCAATCACATAATGTATTAATAAATACTGTATTTTCTTCTTCCTTTTCAAACTCTATGCCTTTTATCTTCTTGACTTCTTTCACTGACTTGAACAACACTCAGGAAAATGTTAAAGCAGGGAGAGTGGACATCCTTGTTTTTTAACAATCTTGGAGTTGGGGAGGGGCACATGAAGTTTTTTACCATTAAATATGTTAGCTGTAATGTTTTGTACAGGCCCTTTATCACACTGAGAAGTTCTATCTATTCCTAGTTTACCAAAAGCTTTTGTCACAAATATATGTTGAACTATGTGAAAAGCTTTCCTTGCATCTTTTTCGATTATTTTTTTTAATTTTTTTAATTTATTTATGATAGTCACAGAGAGAGAGAGAGAGAGAGGCAGAGACATAGGCAGAGGGAGAAGCAGGCCCCATGCACCGGGAGCCTGACGTGGGATTCGATCCTGGGTCTCCAGGATCACGCCCTGGGCCAAAGGCAGGCGCCAAACCGCTGCGCCACCCAGGGATCCCTCTTTTTCGATTATTGTATAGCTTTTCTTTTCTGTCATAGCCTGAGAATAAGGTAAATTTTCCAATGTTCAACCAATCTTGCATTTGTAAGATAAATGTCACTTGGTCATAATATATTATCCTTTCTGTATATTGCTGGACTTGGTTTGTAAATATTTTTAAAATTTTAATTATATATTTTTTTGAAATTTTGTTAAGTAAACTCTGCATCCACTAATGACTCCAAGATCAAGAGCCACATGCTCTACTGATTGAGCAAGCCAGGTGTCCCTGATTTGTTAGTGTTTTGTTAAGGATGTTTGTATCCGTGTTCATAAGAGATACTGACTCCGCTTTCTTGTAAGGTCTTTTTCAAGTTTTAGTGAGGGAATAATGCTGACCTTCTAAATGTGTTGGCAAAGGGGTGCCTGGCTGGCTTAGTCATTAGAGTATACAACTCTTAATCTTGAAGTTGGGAGTTTGAGCCCCACATTGGGTGTATTTTATTCAAATAAAATAAAATAAAAATATTAAAATGTGTTGGGCAGTGTTTCATCCAAGTGTTCCAAGTTCCCAAGTGTTTCCTGGCAAGTTATGTAGAATTTATTTTCTTTAAATGTTTGGCATAATTCACTAGTAAACCCATCAGGGCCCAGAAATTCCTGTTTCAAGTTTTAAACTACAAATTCAATTTCTTTAATCTAAATAATAATATTCAGATTATCTATTTCTTCTGAGTGATCTTTGGTGGTTGGTGTCTTTCAAAGAATTTATCCAATTCATGCAAGTTCTCAAATTCAGTGGCATAGCTGTTTCTATTATTCCTTTATTACCCTTTTAATATCTGTTAAGATCTAGAGTGATGTCACCTCTTATTCCTGATATTAGTAATTTGGGCCCTCTCTTTTTATTTTGTAGTTAGTCTGGCTAGAGGATCCATTTCTTTTATTCCCTTTTTGTTCTTTTTAAGATTATATTTATTTATTTAAGAGAGAGCAGAGAAAGAGAGAGAGAGTACAAGTGGGGAGGGGGTGGGCAGAGGGAGAGGGAGAAGCAGACTCCCCAGTGAGCAGGGAGCCCACATGGGGCTCAATCCCAGGACCCTGGGATCACGACCTGAGCCGAAGGCAGACACCTAACTGACTGAGCCACCCAGGTGCCCCTAAAGAATCCATCTCATTGATTTTTTTAAGGCCTACCTTCTTGTTTCATTGACTTTTTTACCCTATTCTGTTATTTTCTATTGCACTAGTTTCTGATCTCTATTTTTTTACTCTGAGTTTAACTTATTTTCTAGTTTCTTACATGGAAACTAATATAACTGATTTGAGATCTTTCTTCTTTCCTTCTACAAACTATGGTGCTATAAATTTCCCTCCAAACACTGCTTTTGCAGCAATCCAGTTTTTATTTAATTATTCATTATTTATTTTTAGCAAACCAATTTTTCGAAAAGATTTTATTTATTCGTAAGAGACACACACACAGAGAGAGGCAGAGACAAAGGCAGAGGGAGAAGCAGGCTCCATGCAGGGAGCCCAACGTGGGACTCAATCCTGGGTCTCCAGGATCACGCCGTGGGCTGAAGGCAGTGCTAAACTGTTGAGCCACCAGGGCTGCCCAGCAAACCAATTTTTAAATGTGCTTTCATTATCATTCAGTTAAAAACACTTCTAATTTCTTTATGATTTATTCCTTTACTCACTGATTTTTGGGGTTTTTTTTTTTAGGTCTTTTTTTTTTTTTTTTGCCTTAAATATTTTATTTATTTATTCATGAGAGACACCGAGAGAGAGAAGGAGAGGAGGCAGAGACACAGGCAGAGGGAGAAGCAGGCTCCATGCAGGGAGCCCGACCTGGGACCCGATCCTGGGTCTCCAGGATCATGCCCTGGGCCGAAGGCAGAGCCAAACCACTGAGCCACCCAGGCTGCCCTTTAGGTCTTTTTTTTAGCACTGAGTTAATTTTCAGATTTTGGGACTTTTCTAGGTGTTTCATTTTTATTCATTTCTAATTTAATTCTATGTGATCAGAGAATTAAAATTAAATTAAATTAAAACTCTGTGGGTTTTAGTTTTCCTATCTAGTTGTTCTGTTTTGTAAAGGTATCTGGAGAGATTCAAAACTATGCTGCTACCTCCATCTTCCCACTTGTCTTCCTAACCATATCTACTTTCAAGATTTTCCTATCTGTAATAGTCTAAATGCAACCAAAATGACCCAACTTAGTATACTAAATTATTCCTTTAATTCAATTAATTTAATAATTAATTCAATAAGTTTTTGTTATGATTTGAACTATGTTTCTTCAAGTAAAACCACAGAATAATGAATACTTACTGTTATTTGCAAGAGTCAGTCCAATAAATGAACAAATAGGGCGAATTACCTCAGGTTTGATGCAATTTATTAGCCAGTCATTAGCATGTGGAAAAAGTGAACAGCAAAGCATTTGATTTTCATCTGAAAGAAGACAAAGTCAATTGTGTTTTAACATATTTGGAAAATATCAATTTATTTTTATTTTTTATATTTAAATATTTGAGATAATTACCGTTTTGAGGATTGTTAACACAGACACACAAAGTACTACACACTGAAGACCATAACTGATAGCTCTGGAATGTATTTTTATCCGACAAATTCAACTCATATTTTGAAAGAACTGTCCTATTTGGTTAAAAAAAAGGCAGCAAATTAATACAAATGTGTTTAAATCTTAAGCAATAAATAATGACAAAAAATTTATGTTTTCTTACCTGAACAATTGTGTAAGAACTGTAATACAACCAGTCTCTCTTACAAGTGTTTGTCCACTCCCTCAAAAAAAGACATGTAATGCACCAATATGGCTTTTGTTATAAATAATTTTGCAGAAGTTAAAAACACTTAAGTAGTACCTTTAATAAGCAACTTATAATCACTTTAAAGTATTACAAACACAGATTTACAATAGAGAAATATTTGTAATCACGACTATACATTGTCAATGCTCAGAGAATGACAGCATTCAAATTTCCTACAAAAATGAAAGAAATTTTAGCTAAGAGCTACATGGAATTTAAGGCCATTGTTGGCTGATACAGTAAACACAGCAACTAAATGGCTAATTCAGTGGAAAACAACCAAACTAATCAACAAATCCCTCTTTGCTTTCAAAGCTGTTCCTTTACAATGCTATTTAATATTTAAATAACACAAATCACTTTACCTATTTCTTATAATAAATATTAAACAAATATATGCTATTCTCTTTTCTTTAAAGCTAGTAGTTCTCAGAAGTTAGTAAGATATAGGGGCTTCTGGGTGGCTCAGCCGGTTAAGTGTCTGACTCTTGATCTCAGGGTTTTGAGTTCAAACCCTAAGTTGGGCTCCAGGCTGGGTGTGGAGCCTACTTAAAAAAAAAAAAAAAAAAAGATACTGATTTATAAAGACTAGAATAAAAGGGAGAATGGCTATTTCAATGTATTATTTTAAAAATGTTTCTACAACACAAAAGAATGTACTTACTATTATTTGAAACTAGAACCAAAATAACATAGACAGTCATTCTTTTCAAATTTGTGTTTGAATCATTATTAGTTAAGAACGAAGTTAAGTCTTCAAACAATTCTGAAGTGCACAAAGTCTGCTGACAGTAAACTGAAAAATAAAAATTTCAATTTCTATGCATTAGCACAAGTTTTAAAAAATGCTGAACAAAATATAAAGTTCCCAAAGAGAGATACCTGGGTAGCTCAGTGGTTGGGCATCTATCTGCCTGGTCTCGGGGCGTGATCCTGGGGTCCCAGGATCAAGTCCTGCATAGGGCTCCCTGCATGGAGCCTGCTTCTCCCTCTGCCTATATCAATGCCTCTCTCTCTGTGCATCTCTCATGAATAAATAAATAAAATCTTTATTTTACATAAGTATAAATTTTAAATATATATTTATATATTATATATAAATATACAAATTTAAAAAATAAAGTTGCCAAACAGTTCTCAACAAGATCTCAATTTTTTAAAATTTTTATTTATTTATGATAGTCACACAGAGAGAGAGAGAGAGGCAGAGACACAGGCAGAGGGAGAGGCAGGCTCCATGCACCAGGAGCTCGACGTGGGATTTGATCCCGGGTCTCCAGGATCACACCCTGGGCCAAAGGCAGGCGCTAAACCGCTGCGCCACCCAGGGATCCCCCAAGATCTCAATTTTTTTAAAGATATTATTTATTTATCTGACAGAGACAGAGAGAATACAAGCAGGCGGAAAGGCAGGCAGGCGGAGAGGGAGAAGCAGACTTCCTGCTGAGCAGCGAGCTCTAGGCAGGGCTTGATCCCAGGACCCTGAGTTCATTACCTGAGTCAAAGGCAGGTGCTTAGCCAACCAAGGTACCCAGATGTCCTAATCAGATCTCATTTCATTGACATTTATTAGTCATGCAACAAAATTTCTGACAAATTGATATGTGCTTACTCAATTAACAGACCAAAAAAGCAGTACCTTAATCAGAAATACTTAACTGAGACTCTAAAATATGTACACAATCTCCTAGAATTTCTAATAAAAACAAAAAAAATCAAATAGGACAAAAAATTTTAAGAGGAGTAAGTAAAACACAGCAAAAGAAAAATTTTAGAAAATTCAGTAACCTGCTTTAGAAAATAGACAAATGGGATCCCTGGGTGGCTCGGTGGTTTGGCGCCTGCCTTTGGCCCAGGGTGTGATCCTGGAGTCCTGGGATCAGGTCCTGAGTCGGGCTCCCAGCATGGAGCCTGCTTCTCCCTCTGCCTGTGTCTCTGCCTCTCTCTCTATGTCTATCATGAATAAATAAATAAAATCTTAAAAAAAAAAGAAAATAGACAAATGATGCTTATGCTATTTTTAAGAACTTTCTAGAAATTGGGCAGCCTGGGTGGCTCAGCGGTTTAGCACCGCCTTCAGCTGAGGGCCTGATCCTGAAGACCCGGGATCGAGTCCCACGTAAGATTCCCTGCATGGAGCCTGCTTCTCTCTCTCTGCCTGTGTCTGCCTCTCTCTCTGCCTCTCTCTCTCTCTCTCTGTCACTCATGAATAGATAAAATCTTTAAAAAAAAAAAAAGAACTTTCTAGAAATTAAAATATCTTTCCAAAAAACCAAAATGATACCTTACAGTAGGGTTGTGTGTGTGTGTGTGTGTGTGTGTGATATAATAATACAATAAACAGAATTTTTAAAAAATCATTTTAGAGCACCTGACTGGCTCAGTCAGAAGAGCATGCAACTCTTGATTTGAGGTCGTGAGTTTGAGCCCTACACAGCGTGCAGAGATTACTAAAAACAAAACAAAACAAACTTTAAAAAATAAATAAAATCTTTTAAAAAATGATTTGAACACAGAGATATAATTAGTATTTTATCAATTATTTAGAACCACCTATTAGACTTTCTCTCAAAGGCAAGAACAGTGTCTCATTTATCCCAATGACTAGCACACAGCTTGGTTCCTACCAAGTGATGAATAAATATTTACGGATAAAAAATTTTAGGGGCACTTGGGTGGCTCAAATCAGCTAAGCATCCAACTCTTGATCTTAGCTCAGGTCTTGATCTCAGAGTCATGAGTTCAAGTGTTGCATTAAAAAAAATTTAAGAATAGAAAGTTGTTTGACAAACCAATAATTTTGATTCAACTTCATTTTGGGTATAAGAATACGTTACATAAATTTCCATACCTAGAGCATATTTATCCACATACAAGATGTTGTAGTTATCTTTGTCTTTTGTTTCAAATATGGAGATATATGGAGAATGAACTTAATAGAAAAACCAGAGGTAGACCCACTACATAGGCAAATTCATGAAACATTAATAATATCTAAATCAATGTGAAAAAGATCTTTTTAATGTGTTAGAATAGCTGGACTGCCACATAAAAAAGATAAAAGATTAAACTGGAGCATTCATCATGCCATAACCCAGGATAATTAAAAAGGAAAATATGAAAGTAAAAATAAAACTATACTAGTACCAAAAGTACACGTGGCTGGATTCCCCTAGGACCTTAGAGTATGGAAAACTTTCCTATGACTCAAAATCCAGAAGCAAAAAGGGGAAAGAATGATTAATTCTATTTTTGGAAAAAAATAAAAGACTTCTGCATGACAAAAAAAAAAAAAGCTAAGCACAGTGAGAGAGTGAAAAAAAAAAAGTTTCCAACTAATGGCAAGAAAAATTGTGAAGGATTTTGAAATGAACAAAAATGAGTACTGAATGTCCAATCTAGCACACCCTTCTAGATTATCTGAGTCTTTCACTGTCTTCAGGCTATTTTACATCTCTGTAATTTGTAGAAAACTGATAGTAATACAAGTCATTCATTTTTTAAAAGAGATTTATTTATTTTGAGAGAGAGAGCACAAGCGTACACATGAGCAGGAGGGCAGAAGGAGAGGGAGAAAGAATCTCACGTGGAGCACCACGCAGGGCTTGATCTCACAACCCTGGGATCATAACTTGAGCTGAAATCAAAAGTCAGATGCTTAATCAACTGCACCACCCAGGTGCCCCAGGTTATTCTTGACTGCAGAAAGGGAAAACATTTTGGTCAGTCAAATGCAACTGACTGTTACTGTTGCTCTATGGATATTGACCAGTTTGTGCCTACTTACAAATCTATTTCAGTATTCCCAAATGCCTATGTTGTTTTTTTGTCATTGCTTTTGAAACAGTTGTCATATTTTACTGGTTCCTTCATTAGTTAATACATGAAATAAAATCTTTAGCATGCATGAATTTAGATAGATAGATACATAGATAAATAAATAAATAAATAAAATAAAATAAAATAAAATAAAATAAATAAATACCTGGATAAAACTATCCAGACACGTAAAAAAGGAATTTAATTCTAAAATTATTTTAGTAGTTTGTTGAAATATAACACAATGCTTGAAGGATAATGGAAAAAAGTTTTCATGTTTTACCACTTTGTTCTGCAACAGCTCCTAATGTATATAAGGCTGCTTCTTTTACCATGCTATGTTCACTTGACTTTGCAAGGTTTTTTATAAACATCAAACCACCAATTTCCCGAAAATAAACACCTGCATTACCTATAAGGTGCAAGACAAAACAAAACATAAATCATATTATAATTCTTTTAAGGAGAAAATAAATCACATGAACATAGCAACATAGCATGTAGAGTAACTGAGTTGAAGAGAAAGAACCATGAATATTTCACATATCAAAATACTAAAGAACTAGAATCACAGATAAAAATACACTATCATGTCTTACTGTTTTGTTGACAAATTGAATGAATAGTGACCAAAGCTTCCTTTTGTGAGAAAGGGTTGTCCATTTGATACTTCAGGCACTCCAATAATAAGTTCAGGTCAGTCTTCATTTCTAAAGAACAAAAATTTCATTTTTTAAAAAACCAGATGTTTCCTTTAAAAAATTAACCATTTAAAGTTCACTTTTTAGATATATATCTTTATGTTTGTTTTTAAAATAAGTATATATTCCTTTTATAATCAAACAGTAAAGATACATAAAAGAAAGATGTTCCTTGGGATCCCTGGGTGGCGCAGCGGTTTGGCGCCTGCCTTTGACCCAGGGCGCGATCCTGGAGACCCGGGATCGAATCCCACGTCGGGCTCCCAGTGCATGGAGCCTGCTTCTCCCTCTGCCTGTGTCTCTGCCTCTCTCTCTCTCTCTCTCTGTGTGTGACTATCATAAATAAATAAAAATTAAAAAAAAAAAAAAAAAGAAAGATGTTCCTTAAATAACTTGAAATACTTATAATTATTTGGTTTTTCCTTTGCATGAAATATAAGAATACAAAACTCAAATATTATTTAAATAAAACTACATTGGTTTAAACATCTGTCATTTAGAAATGAACTGAATAAAAATGAAAATGTAATATATTGGAACTTGTGGGATGCTACCAAAACAGTATTTGAGAGGAAATTTGCAATGCTAAATACTTATATTATAAAAGAAGAAAGGACTTGTGACACCTGGATGGCTCAGTCAGTTAAATGTCTGCCTTTGGCTCAGGCCATGATCCCAGGGTCCTGGGATTGAGCCCCATGTTGGGCTCCCTGCTCAGTGGGGAGCCTGCTTCTCCCCTTCCCTCTGCCACTACCTGTGCTCGTGCTCTATCTCTGTCAAATAAATACAATCCGTTTTTTTTTTTAAGAAAAGTCTCAATGACCTCAAACTTAAGAAACTATAAAAACAGTAAGTTAGGGCATCCCTGGGTGGCTCAGTGGTTTAGCGCCTGCCTTTGGCCCGGGGCATGGTCCTGGAGTCCCGGGATCGAGTCCCACGTCGGGCTCCCGGCATGGAGACTGCTTCTCCCTCCTCCTATGTTTCTGCCTCTCTCTCTCTCTCTCTCTCTCTCTCTCATGAATAAATAAATAAATAAAAATTTTAAAAAATAAAATAAAAAAACTAAATAACAGTAAATTAAACTAAAAGTAGAGAATGGAAATAAAGATCAAAGCCAAAAATCAGTGAGATTAAAAGCAGAAAAACAAGAGAACTGTTTCTTTGAGAAGATCAATAAAACTGATAAATCTCGGGACGCCTGGGTGGCTCAGCAGTTGAGCATCTGCCTTTGGCTCAGGGCGTGATCTTGGGTTCCAGGATCGAGTCCCGCATCAGGCTGACTCTATGGAGCCTGCTTCTCTCTCTGCCTATGTCTCTGCCTCTCTTTGTGTGTCTTTCATGAATAAATAAATAAAATATTTATTAAAAAAATAAAACTGATAAATCTCTAGACAAACTGACGAGGAAATAGGAGCACAGACACCAATTACCAATATCAGAATGAGAGAAATGGCATCATCATAGATTCTATTTATATTCAAAAGATAGTTATATACAATTTATCTACAGATTCAATGACTTAGGTGAAATGGACAAACTGCTTAAAAGACACAAATTAGGGATGCCTGGATGTCTCAGTCTGTAAAGCATGCAACTCTTGATCTTGGGGTTTTAAGTTCAAGCTCCACGTTTGGTGTTGAAATTACTTAAATAAAATCATTAAGAAAGACATAAATTATGGAAACTCACCTAAGAAGAAACAAATCATCTAAATAGTACTATACTTATGAAAGAAACTAAAATCATATTTTAAAAACCTTTTGTAGGGGCGCCTGGGTGGTTCAGTTAAGCATCTGCCTCCGGTTCAAATCATGATCTCAGGGTCCTGGGATGGAGCCCCACATCCGGCTCCCTGCTCAGGAGGGAGTCTGTTTCTCCCTCTCCCTCTGCCCCTCCCCTCACTTGTGCTAGCTCGCGCTCTCAAGTAAAATCCTTAAAAAAACAAAACAAAATCTTTTGTAAAGAAAATTCCAGGTTCAGATGGCTGCATCTGTAAACTCTTTCAAACATTTAAGGAAGAGGGGATCCCTGGGTGGCTCAGTGGTTTAGCACCTACCTTTGGCCCAGGGCGTGATCCTGGGGTCCCAGGATAGAGCCCCGCATCGAGCCCCACCTCAGGCTCCCTGCAGGAAGCCTGCTTCTCCCTCTGTGTCTCTGCTTCTCTCTCTCAGTCTGTGTCTCTCATGAATAAATAAATAACATCTTAAAAAAAATTTTAAGGAAGAACTACTACCAATTATACACAAACTTTTCCAAAAGTTTATGGAAAAGGAATACTTCCCAACTTATTCTATGAGGTCAGCATTACCCTAACACGAAAACCAAAGCCATTAGAAAGAGACAAAAGACAACTTAAGACCAATATCCCTCATGAATATTCATGTAAAGAGTCTAAACAATTTTAGCAAACTGAATCTAAAAACATATTAAAATAATAATACATCATGACCAAGTGGGTTTATCCTAAGATTCAGGGTTGACTAAAGATACGAAAAATCAATTCATGTAATATGACAAACATGTAAAATCATATAATCAACTCAGTTGATGCAGAAAAAGCATTTGATAAAATTCAACTTTCATTTCTGATAAAAAGAAATTCAGCAAACTTGGAAGAAAAGAAAATCTCCTCAATCTAAAAATGTATATCTATAAAAAAGAAGAAGAAAAGCCCTACAGTAAACATAATACTTAAGAGAAAAAGACTGAATTATTTTTCCCTGAGATCAGGAACAAGACAGAGATGTTTAACATTGTACTGGGAGTCTAGCCAATGTCATTCTGTTTAACATTCTATTTAATATCGTACTAGAGAGCTTAGCCAGTGCCATGAAGTGAGAAAAAGAAATAAAAGGCATTCAAACTAGGAAGGAAGTAGTAAAACTATCTGCCTTCCTGTACAACATGACCTTCTATATAGATCATCTGACGGAATCTACAAAAGAGCTACTAGCACAACTGAGTATAGTAAGATTTCAGCACTTCCATTTTCCTATAAAATTCTTCACTATCGGGACGCCTGGGTGGCTCAGTGGTTGAGCGTCTGCCTTTTGGCTCAGGGAGTGATCCTGGTATTCAGGATCGGGTCCCACATCTAGCTCCTGGCAGGGAGCCTACTTCTTCCTCTGCCTGGGTCTCTGCCTCTCTCTGTGTCTGTCATGAATAAATAAATATATAAAATCTTTTTTAAAAAATTTCACTATAGCCTTTAAACAATTTCTTCTCTTGGTTTTAACGATTTAAATTAAATTGTATGTATATTTTGACATAATGCTTGAATTAACACTTAAAGTTCTCAAAAATATAGGATGAAGAGAAAAGGTAAAAATACAGAGGAACACACTAAAAGAAACTTGTATCTATTGTCAATCAATATTTAGTCTTCCTCTTAAAAGAAATTCAACTGACAATTTGGTTCAAGAAAATTATTCATGATTCAATTTGTTAGAAAAACCACAGTACAAAAGTTATCACTAAGTAGTCTTGGAGCAACAACAAACATTTACTGATCATATTCTACATTAATAGAAACCATAAGAAGGTTAGTTTGGCTGTATGGATAGCAATAAACCACTCATCATCAACAATATGCCACAAGAGGATTTTTTTTTTTTTTTTTAAGATTTTACAGGCATCCCAACACAAGAGGATTTTTGATGGGGCATGGTGATTTTCAATTCTAGGCACAAAGGCAGAAAACAAGAAACTTCTTCGTGTATTCCTCTATTCCTCGCTGTACTCCCCTCTTCTACTTCGATGTTTTCTATTATAATCCCTCCCTTCCCAAAGCACCTAATGACATTTACAACTCCGTTTTATCTTCTCCAGCCTATGTAACCTAGTTCCTTCAATACTTCCTGAAGAAAATAAAAACTCAAGTATATACAATACAAAAGCACAAGTTATAAAAGAAAATTGGAGAAATTTGACTTAAGATTGAAATTTTTGGAGCTTCAAAAGATATCAAGAATGTGAAAAGACAACTGACAGAAGGGAAGAATACATCTACAAATCAGGTATCTGATCAAGGGCTTGTGTTCAGAACATAAAAGGACTTTTTTTCATATAGAGAACTCTTAAAACTCAATAACAAAAAGATAACCAAATTAAGAAGTATAGACATTTCTCCAAAGAAGATCTACAAAATGTCAATTAGTATATGAAAAGATGCTCAACATCATCATTAGTCATTAAGAAAATACAAAACAAAACCCCAATTAGATACCACTTCACATACCACTAGGATGGCTATAGTTAAAAAGGCAGATTATGACAAGTGTTGACCAAGGATCTGAAGAAACTGGAGCACTTATACATTGCTGTAGGAATGTAAAATGGTACAGTCACTTTGGCAAAAAAGTGTAGCAGTTCCTTAAAAGGTCAAATATAAATTTATCGTAGACTCAGCAATTCTACTACTGGATATATACTCAAGAGAAATGAAAACATGTCACACAAAAACTTGTACATGAATGTTATAACTTCCGAACAGTGAAAACCCAAATTTCCATCACCTCTTGAATGGATAAACAAAATATGATATATCCATTCAATGGAATATTATTTGGCAATAAACAGGAATGAAGATACTGAAACTACCTGAATAATCCTTGAAAATATTGTACTAAGTTAAAGAAGACAGCCACAAAAGCCCACATATTGTATGATGCAATTTATATGTCCAGCATAGGCAAGTCTAGAGACAAAAAATAGATTTGTGGTTGCCTACAGTTGGGAAGGGGGATGTGACCAATAAAGGGTACAGGGTTTCTTTGGGGGTGATAAAAAAAAATGCCCTAAAATTGATTGTAATGATGATACAACACTGAATATATTAAAAACAACTGAATTGTGTCTTTTATTTTTTTTTTAATTTTTTATTTATTTATGATAGTCACAGAGAGAGAGAGGCAGAGACACAGGCAGAGGGAGAAGCAGGCTCCATGCACCGGAAGCCCGACGTGGGATTCGATCCCGGGTCTCCAGGATCGCGCCCTGGGCCAAGGGCAGGTGCCAAACCGCTGCGCCACCCAGGGATCCCTGAATTGTGTCTTTTAAATGGGCAAATTGTGTGTTATGTCAATTATATTTTTAAAAAGCTATTCTATATACAAAAATCAAATTACTGGTATGCTTTGCAGTTGTCTGAATGACCAAAGTAACCCCAATCTCAGTTCTTTTGGGTAACTAATATGGATACTGGGAAAGAGAAAGTCCCCCTTCTCTTTTTTAAGATTTTATTTATTTATTCATGAGAGACACACAGAAAGAGGCAGAGACACAGGCAGAGGAGAAGCAGGCTCCCCACAGGGAGCCCGATGTGGGACTCGATCCCAGGACCCTGGGATCATAATCTGAGCTGAAGGCAGACCTCAACCACTGAGTCACCCAGGTATCCCTGAGACAGTTTCTCTTTTCTAAATCTCAAACTGTATGTAAATTTGGCTACTCACTTTCAAGGCCAAACTTTGGGCCCCTGTCATTAGTCAGAACAGGTCTACCAGTAATATTCTCAAACCTATTTTTTTACTTTTGGAATATTATCCGTAATTCTTTCAACTGTCTTACTTCCTTATTATTTTTTTAAAAAAGATTTTATTTATTTATTCATGAGAGACACAAACAGAGAGAGGCAGAGACACAGGCAGAGGGTGAAGCAGGCTCCATGCAGGGAGCCCAATGTGGGACTCAATCCTGGGACTCCAGTATCACATGCCCTGAGCAGAAGGCAGACGCCCAATCGCTAAGCCACCCAGGTGTCCCTTTTATATTTATTCCTTGACCCCTAAGATCTTTAATGTCTTTACTCCTGTTCACTGAGGCTTCTAGTTTCATTTCCTTCCCTATTCATCCTAGATCCCATGATTCATCACCTCAACCATTATTTGCTAAGATTCCTTTGACTACTTGTTCTTCTAGTAAAGATGTCCTATAATCCTAACCATGACTCAAAAACACATTCCTTTCTCTGCTTTTTCAGCCCAAATTTGGGCATTGCTAAAGGGAAAAAATTAATTATGCCATTACAAATATTTGGTATGCATTCCAAGTTATAATCCCTAACTACTCAGCAATCCCATCCATGGTCAGCTCTCTCACACCCTTCCGCTTCCTCTGCCATCTTCCTCAACAGCTATTTCAAATAGCTTTTTTTAAACCTCCAACCCCATCCCACATCTCTCTCTTCCATTTTATTTTAATTGAGTTTCCCCAGAAGCAGACCAGGAGACAAGGATTTGAACATTAAGTACTTTTTTGAGAAAAAGAGATAGGACAGGAAGGTGGACAGAAGCAAGTTATTATTAAGGATAACTGGAGCTTCACTCCACAAGGAAACTCTGGGAGCCAACGTGGAACCATGTGTCTCAGTCATCCCCACCAAAAGGTGAAGAGTATTTATTCATCAATTCCAAACACTCATTTGTTTAGGCCTGCTCTCAGGGAAAGGGTCATTAATTATCTGGGATTCTCTGGATTGCCTTGCTCTCTGGACAAAAGCATATTACAAATGCCAAGATAAATCCTCAAAAAGACACAGATTTTAGGCCTGAAGAGAACTCCCCACTTTGCACAACACAGAATTCCTACAAAATATTTACATCCATACTCATTCTTTTTTTTTTTAAGATTTTATTTATTTATTCATGACAGACACACAGAGAGAGGCAGAGACACAGAAGGAGAAGCAGGCTCCCCACAAGGAGCCCGATGTGGGACTCAATCCTGGATTGGGGGATCACGCCCTGAGCCAAAGGCAGACACTCAACCGCTAAGCCACCCAGGCGTCCTGCCACACTCATTCTTATCTCTTCTTCCACAATATTAGACCAGGTATCCAGTGCCCTACCTGTTTGTTCATGGTTAATCCATTCACCTATGTTCTGGGACCTTCTATAGTAACTACAACTAGTATACTTTGGTAGTTTTTTTTTTTTTTTCCTGTCCAGAATGATTTCCTTTCTTTTTGTGGTTCTTTGGAGAACTCTTCCTCACAACTCTTGAGTTTCCTAGTGGTATGAACTGATATATTTCCTTTCTTGCTTGAATTAGTTTGAGTTGATTTCTCTCACATACAACTCAAATGGCACATGACTTCTCAAAAATCTATTCATTTTGCTGTCTACTATGCATACACTCTACCAGATGTGGATTCTGATTTCAAGGAACTCAAAATCTGGTGACGGAGAAAAACAGAGAAAGATGGGGGTAATTCCCATAGTGTAATAAATGGTCTTATAGGGGCATCTACAATTATCCCCTCTCCAGGTTCCCCAACCTCCCCCTCTCCAGAATCTCCATTCCCTCTTCATATATTCTCTTGTCTCTACTCCCCTTACAAGGTTCCCTTAACATTATAGTCTCCCGCTACCTATTGCCATATATCTTCAGTCAAGATGTTTTTTTTAAGATTTTTTTATTATAATTCATGAGAGACAGAGAGAAGAGAGGCAGAGACATAGGCAGAAGAAGCAGGCTGCCTGATGTGGGACTTGATCGCAGGACCCCAGGATCATGACCTGAGCCAAGGGCAGACACAACCCACTGAGTCACCCAGGTGCTACTTCAGTCAAGCTTTTAAGAAGAGAAAGGTATTTATACTATCTCCAGATTCTTATTTCCTACCCAAACTTCAATATACTGCAATCTAGCTGAAATGTATTCAATTTACTCTTAATAAAACAAATGATCTCCTAAATACAAAATCTGGTGGATAATTCAGTCGTCATCTGTGGATATTTGACACCAGTGAGCTCAAGCAATCTTTCTCCTGAAGTATTCTCCTAAGTCTGATTTCCAAAATTCCACATTCCTGACTCTCCTTTCACCTTTCTGAAATGTTTTTTTCTGTCATTTTTTTGAAAGCCCTCTTCCTCAGCCAAATCCTTACATGATGGTGTGCATTAAGGAACACCATTTTCCATCCTTTTTTTTTTTTTAATACTTCCTCTGTAGTCAATCTCCTCCATGCCCATAGACATAATTTCCATCTTTCTAAGGATGACTCTGAAACCTGTACCTCTATTTGGTGGTGGTTCTCTCAGGTTCCCACTGTTCTTTACATATCTCTATTAAACCAGCTACCATATGGTATTCTAATTATCAGCCTACCTTTACCTATTAGGTCAGTAATCTGAAGTCAGTGAGACAGGCAGGGTAGATGCACAATAAATATGTATGTAAACTGCTGAATATTTTTTTAATTTCCTGGATCTTGTCAGATAATTTGCAGTATATCCCACAAATAGACATAAAATTAATTCGATATATAATCCATTAATTTCTCACCTTGTATCTTCTTTGTGTCCTCACTTGCCATGCTCATCTGTATTTTCCTTACTTCATCTATAAGATAAAGGTATTTTCTCAATTTATTTATTTTTTTTTAATTTTTTTTTTATTTATTTATGATAGTCACATAGAATGAGAGAGAGAGGCAGAGACACAGGCAGAGGGAGAAGCAGGCTCCATGCACCGGGAGCCCGACGTGGGATTCGATCCCGGGTCTCCAGGATCGCGCCCTGGGCCAAAGGCAGGCGCCAAACCGCTGCGCCACCCAGGGATCCCTATTTTCTCAATTTAAATCAATGTTTGAGAATTCCAGAATTATAAGTGTAAAGGAGTAGGGAAAAATAGTTTTCCTGAAGCCAGAAAAGCAGGGAGTAAACCTACAACTTCCTAAATATGTGATAAAAGTTGTGCTTAACTTCTCTGAGGCTCATTTTCCTCATCTACAAAATATGAAACTCCTTTTTTTTTAAGATTCTATTTATTTACTCATAGAGACAGAGAGAGAGAGGCAGAGACACAGGCAGAGGGAGAAGCAGGCTCCATGCAGAGAGCCCGACATAGGACTGGATCCAGGGTCTCCAGGGTCATGTCCTGGGCTGCAGGTGTCGCTAAACTGCTGCGCCACCGGGGCTACCCCAGAAATTCCTAATTTATAAAGTTGTTACAAGAATTAAATTTGAAGATATACATACATGCATGTGGCATTTGCTTAAGTACTACAGGCATTCAACAGATTTTATTAAATAAATATTAAAATGGTTGGTTAACTGAATCTAACTGATCCTCTCTGGTTCTGCTTCCTCATTTTCCCTTCTAGTTCTGCTTCCTTATTTTCTTTCCTGTATTTTCATCCCATCATTTCTGACTGGTCATCCCTCCATGAATCAGAAATTTAAAACACACACATACCCTTAAGAACTCAATTTCTCCACACAAGCTAAGCTTAATATTAAAAATTTACTTTTCTAACAACCCATGTTTTTTTCAACGTAGTATTCTACTATTAAACTCTTTGTTTATCTATCACTTGTTAGAAGAATTTTTAAAATAACCAGCAACTCTGATATGGCATCTTACATGCTAAATTATTTTTTTAGAAAAATCTATCCAAGTCCGATTAACTTCTTAAAGCAATACAATAGGACTCACAGAACTCTAGAATTCTTTTTTTTTTACTCCAACACTACATGGTTAATGGGAAATAGCTACTTACCCATTCTATTTTTTTCTCACTCTCAGAATGAAAATAAAATTCCCAAAAAATTAATAACAAATGTTAGAGTCTTTTATAAAGTAAATTTAAATATATACCAGCTTTGCCACTTTTTTTTTTAACCTAGGTATTCCATTAAAATGGACTACGGTACCATATGTGGATTTTTGCTTTGTGAAGGAATTTAAGGACTATTTCCTTAGTTTTAATTAGTCAGAACTAATTATAAAGCCCTTAAATATAGTTTTATGTTTAAAAAGGAATATAACTTTAAAATCTAAATGTCTTGGGATCCCTGGGTGGCACAGCGGTTTGGCGCCTGCCTTTGGCCCAGGGCGCGATCCTGGAGACCCGGGATCGAATCCCACGTCGGGCTCCCGGTGCATGGAGCCTGCTTCTCCCTCTGCCCGTGTCTCTGCCTCTCTCTCTCTCTCTCTGTGACTATCCTAAGTAAATAAATTAAAAAAAAAAATAAAATCTAAATGTCTTGAAACTAATACCAATACTCTACCTTCTCTTCCCTTTGTCTTATACTGTTTCCTAATAAATGGTTACTTTGCACAATAAAATTAAATACGGTTTTCCAACTGCCTAGAAGCATTAATACAAGTCATCTTATTTACTAGCTAAGTGCTTGGAAACATCCACAGCAAAGGACAAGTCGTATGTTCAAGGATCGGTAATCATAAAATACAGTCTATTTCCCAACACAAAAGTATCTTCAATAAAGCAGATAGTGTTTTCCGTAGTTGAGTGAAGATGCAAGCTGCAGTGAACGAAATTTCAAAATGATCTGCTGTATTCTCACAGGGCTGGGGGAGGGGGAAGGGTTCCCAGGTAAGGGAAGAAACTATCCCAGTGACAGGTTTAATTCAATCCACGCCTCAGAACTGTGCTGTTAGATGCAAAGTCAAGCAAGAAAACTGAAAAGTACGCTTTCCCTTGGCCCAGAAACTGTCAACATGAAAAGCTTTTGCAGGCATCCTTCCGTGTAAGGCTGGCAGGCTGGAAAATCCCACACTAACGGTCATCGCCGAGCGCCTGAGAGCGGGTACTCCGCTGGGCCTCGCACCGTGGAACGAGGCCCTCTGGGAGGCGAAGCAAGGGAGAAAGGGCTGCGACGGTTTAAGCAGATGGAGAACTAACAGGTGCAGAGAACAAGCCAAGGGCCCCGGAGCGCGCCCCCACCGCGCCCGCGGTCCCAGGCGGGGGACACGGAGCAGCCGTTCCGCACCAGGCCTCACCAGGCCTCACCAGGCCTCACCAGCCCTGGCAGGGTGCACGGTGGCGACGCCCGACCTCCCTGCAGCCCGTGTTCCCAGGGGCGCTCACCCGGGCTGGGAGCCCTCTCCTGGGGGCACAGGTCCGCCCCAGGCCCCGTCGTCTCACCCCGCGGCCCTCCCACTCCCGCCAGCGGCCGGTGCTGGTCACAGGGCGAGGCCCGGCCCAGCGGCCGGGGGGGCCTCCCCACGGGTTCCCACGCCGGAGGGCCTGGGGGTCCTCGGAAACGTTCGGCCTCCAGAAGCCTGACTAACCGGCTGCCGTGGGCGCGAGGGCGGCGCCGCCCAGGCCCGCTGCCTCCTCAGGAAGGCCGTTCCCGCCAGCTCCCGCCACCCCTCACGGCAGTGGGTTAAGAAGGGCACCGGCGGGCTGACCTGGGCCTCCTGGACACGGCCGGGCGCCGGGGCAGGGCCTCTGCCCTCAAGTCGCACCGCGCCGGGTGGGAGGTTCCCGCCCCTTCTCCCTCGCGGGCGGCCTACAAAGGCGCGGGCCTGGATTTCCCGCCCAATGGGTCGGGCCCACTTCCGTGGGCGGGACTTCCGTGGACGGGACTTCCGTGGGCGGGGCTCCCGGACGCTGCCCACCCACGCCCGGCCCACGCAGTGTCCCTCCGCGGAGCACCGCTCCTCCACATTGCCGAGGCGGGTCCCGGGGACCAAGAGTGTGGATGGTGTATGTTGTCAAATTGAATTGAAATTAAAAAAGATAATTCAATTAAAAAAAAAAGTATGGATGCAGTATCTTTGAGTGGTAGAAAGTCTCAACGTGAATGGGAACTCGGATCTCACTACCCCCGTTTTCGGACTTTCTTTGCTCAGAGGGGCGCTCGCAGCAGGGAGTTAGGCGAGCGGGCTCCGGGTGGAGGAGGCTGCGTCTGAGACGGTGGCTGCAGGGCTCAGCGCAGGTGAAGAGGCCATTGCACCGAGCCTGGCACTCATTCCTCTCTCCCCAGCCTCCTGTCCTTGTTTAATGATAAAACTATACGTTTGAAATATTGGTCTTTTCATATAGTGACGTTCCTCAAATGTCCCTTGCTAAAATCGATGCATGGCTTAAGTTCATTATTTAAGACTGTAAGAAAAAAAAAACTATTTTAAGCTGTTTTTAATGAAACACAAGTTTTTTGTTTTTTCTTTAAGATTTTAAGTACTCTAAACCAAAGGTGGGCTTGAACCTACAGCCCAAAGATCAAGAGTTGCAGGCTCCAGGGACTGAGCCAGCCAGGTGCCCCACAGGAGATTTTTATAAGTAACTTTGAATCAGCAAGCCAGAAATAATAAACTCAATTAAAAATAGATAGCTTTTATTCTCAGAAAAACACTGTTTCCTTTCCCCTTCCCCCACAAAGAACAAGACTACATTATTACAAATGAGAAAAATGTTTATTAAGGAAACAATTTAACAGTTCTCCCTTACTAGAAGTTTACAGACTAGAGCACAAACTGAAGGCAAGTACAGTTTAAATCATTAACACACTACATGGGGTGCTTATTCTATAACTGGAAAGTTGCTGAAGTTTGTGACATGCCACTATAAATGTAAGTATTATTAAAAATTACAAATTGTTTGGTGATTATTTTGATAACCTCCTGAGCAGCAGCTCCTGTAAGGAAAAAAGAGAAAAGCAAATCTGAAAAAGGTAGATTTCAAGTTATATAAAAATATTCAATTCTGTAAAGAAAACCTTTCCTTTCCCAAAGCAAAAGTGTTTTAACAATAAACCAAAACAGGCATAGCTTACTGAGTCACATCAAAAACAAGGACTGCAATTTTGTATAACTATGTTCTTATAGGAAATAAAAATTTTGTCCTATACATTCACACTTTGGGATATTATGCCACAGTTTAAAAGAATGAAGTATTATGGTGGTTTCAAATTGTTGACTAGATATTTTAAGTCAAAACGGTCTCTAGGAAAAGTAACTTGAAAAAACCAAGGCCAGAAAGGCTGAGTGGAACCAGAATACGGTGTTTTTAATGTCAAATAAAGGACTCTGGACTTGTTTTCTGAAGATCATTGTAGTGTACATGTGTATTAACAGGACAGAGGGTAGGTTGAGAGACATGATCAGAGCTACCCTTTAGAAAGATCATGGACTCTTCACTTTAAGATGGACAGCAGTGAGAGTGGAAAGCAGAGAGACCAGTGAAATAATCTAAACAAGACAATATCCTGCTTCACTGAGTCCCCTTGTTAAAAGAGCTCAGAAAACAAAACTTCTTTACTGTGTAACCACAGATGCTAGTCTTCTCATCCATGGAACTCACCCCCTAAGAATGCAGCAATGGTGTGTGGCTCAGCAGCTCCATATCGGCAACTACAGAAAAGAACGGAGACGTGAACTAAGATTAGCCTTATGACAGGACAAGTATTATCTCTCATCTGCCCTAAAAAAATACTCACAATTCATGGACATAATCATCTTTCACCATTACAGATAATCCATATTCCTGAAGGAAGCCAGTGAGACAACACTTCAGCTTTCCTATGTCTTCTTCAACTTGGTAGTTAGATACTCCTAAAAATACATATGTAAATTAATTTTCATTAAAATGAATAATGAAATCCAAAACCAATGGCTGTCTACCTTTTTCAGTCCAATTTTAGGTGTTCTAGTCAAAATAGTAAGGTGTGAAACTGAAGTAAGAACAAAAATGAGAGAAAAAAAAATGAGGGTAAGTATGAGACCAGCATTTACAACTATCCCAAACTGTAACAATCAAAGAAACCACCTGAAACCTATTAAAAATTCAAGTTTGGTAAGTCTGCTTTATTGTTTACTAGATACTATTTACCTAGGATCAAGAGTATCTGACACATAGTTGGTGCTCAATAATAATCTGAGAGAAGAATTGAATGAATAAGAAAGTAATGTCTGCTTTATACCCTGTATAAAAATTATGGTGCTTGGTGTCCCTGGGTGGCTCAGTTTTAAGCGTCCAACTCTTGATTTTGGCTCAGGTCATGATCTCAGGGTCTTGAGATCAAGCCCCATGTCAGTCTCTTCGTGGGCGTGGAACCTGCTTAAGATTCTCTTTCCCTCTCCTTGTACCCCTCCAGCCCTAAAAAAATTGTGTTTATTATCCATTTCCAAGAGATTAAATGGCACTTCATGAAGACAGAAAGCTATAATAGGTAACATTTATTGAACAATAACAAATGCTCGACAGTGTTGTAAGTACCCTATATATTAAATGATGTAATCCTCAGAACAACCCTATGAAGTAGGTACTATTATTATCCCCATTTACAGGTAAGAAAATTGTGGTACAGACAGATCAAGTTATTTGCTATTTGCCTGAGTTACTTTGCTCCTAAGTAGCAATATTGGGATATGGGCCCAGGCAGTTCTTAATGATTATACTATAATGTCTCCAAAGGTAAGCTATTGTTATTACTACTGGAAGGAAAAATACAATTGCTGTAATATTCAAGTATTACTAAAACAAATCATATTTTTAATCCCCCTAGTTTAGAAACCATCACTAACCTTCCTAATAATAATAATACCAACCCTTTATTGAATACTAACAAGGTGCCATGTAGTGTTAATTTTCATATATCACCCACATAACTCTTTCAATCCAAAGGTAGACACTCTTATTACCATTCCATAAATGAGAGAACTGAGACTTGGAAATAGTGACTCACCCAAGGTCAAGAGATAGTAAGTGACAGATTTAATTCAATTTAAGTATTTATTCAAGACTTCATTGTATATGATAATGAGATTGTTATTCTTACCTGGATATCTACCATGTTGTTTATGAAATCTATCAACAGCCCGTAACATTAAATATAATACTATTTCATTATCTGGATTGTCCATGCTGGAAACTGAAAGGAAAAAAAAATTCTATATAATTTGAATTGATTAGGGCAGCCCCGGTGGTGCAGCGGTTTAGCGCCGCCTGCAGCCTAGGGCGTGATCTGGAGACCCTGGATCGAGTCCCACGTCAGGCTCTCTGCATGGAGCCTGCTTCTCCCTCTGCCTGTGTCTCTGCCTCTCTCTCTATCTGCATCTCTATAAATAAATAAATAAATAAATAAATAAATAAATAAATAAATAAATAAATAAATAAATAAATAAATAAATAAATAAATAAATAAATAAATAAATAAATAAATAAATAAATAAATAAATAAATAAATAAATAAATAAATAAATAAATAAATAAATAAATAAATAAATAAATAAATAAATAAATAAATAAATAAATAAATAAATAAATAAATAAATAAATAAATAAATAAATAAATAAATAAATAAATAAATAAATAAATAAATAAATAAATAAATAAATAAATAAATAAATAAATAAATAAATAAATAAATAAATAAATAAATAAATAAATAAATAAATAAATAAATAAATAAATAAATAAATAAATAAATAAATAAATAAATAAATAAATAAATAAATAAATAAATAAATAAATAAATATTGGCAAATCTCCAGAAAAAAAAATAATAATAATTTGAATTGATTACATAAAAATAGTGCAGAACTGAATTTACTATATACTCAGTTTCAGGATACAAGGCAAATCTATCACAAAATTTAAATATTTTGTGACAATAAAATAGAAAATGATAAATAATACTAAAATAAAAGAAGAGGGAAATACATTAAAATGAAACCAAGTGTTCTTAAAGACTATTAGCTATAGTCACATAATCTCTCTTTTTTTTTCCATCATCTCTTTTAATGTAGTAATATGCTGACTTTAGCTCTTCCTCATAATCACACAACTTAACTTAGTAACCTAAATATGATTTCATGTGTATATTAAATTTTCATTTTGCAGTTATGACTACCTGGAAATATGACTACTTCTTGGTTTATAGGATAAAATTTACACTACAATATTTACATTTCCTGCAAACTATCATCATATACTCACTATTATACACAAAATATTTATTTATATCTCTAAAATTAATTAAAGTTAATAACCTTAGCATCAAAAAGTTATTATACTTACTTATTTCATCCTTGTTAATTGTATTCAAGCCATATTCTTCAGCTAAGGATCGACATCTTACCACTCGAAGAAATGCAGAATTGGTGCCTGAACACAGGAAGGACATTATGGAAGTAAACAGTTGAGATGTGAATATTCCAAATCACAAGTCACTCTAAGAACAGGAAATTTTGTATATACTCTTTAAAGACATGGAAATGAGAAGAAATGTCTCTTTGGCTCTAATAGTTAGCAGAGAAGGCACTAGAACACTGAAATCATCTGAAATTCATATCTTTGGCACTACAACCAGCTCAGCACTGGGTAAGTAGGTGCTGGCACCTCTCTGAGCTTGCTTTCATTTGTAAAACGGGGATAATATTACCTTTGAAAGTAGTTCTATGTATCCAATCTGTAAGTGTATAAAGTACATACCTAGCACAATGCCTGACAGAACTGAGTGAATAGTCATTTTTATCACTCTTATGGTTAAGTAGTCCTAAAGGAGAGCAATATATATATATATATATATATATATATATATATATATATATATATATATATAATGCTCTTTGTGTACATAAAACTTCCTTTAAAAAAACTTTGTATTGAAATGCCCAGGTGGCTCAGCAGTTGACTGTCTGCCTTCAGCTCAGGGTGTGATCCCAGGGTCCGGGATCCAGTCCTGCACTGGGCTTCTTGCAGAGAGCCTGCTTCTCCCTCCGCCTATGTCTCTGCCTCTCTTTCTGTGTGTCTTTCATGAATAAATAAATAAAATCTTTAAAAAAAAATCTTAAAAAAATAACTTTGTATTCTGTAAATTTTAAAACATACCCCCAAAGTAGAGAGACCAGAATAAACCCTCAAGTACCTAATATCCAGCTTTAATCTGGTATCATATAATCTAGTACAACAAACACAAATGCAGAACAAGGTATGAGATTGGTAGTGAAACAAAACATGAAACTAAGCCTCAACAAGCACTAAGGAAGAGTCATGAAAGGGAGAAACTGGATAAATGTATTTTAAGGCTGGGGAACATATAAAATCTAGACTTTTGCAGAAGTTAATGGCAGTAGCTACAAGGAAAAATTCTCAGACGGCATGTAGAACAAATTTTATTACTCTTAAACTAATTCTTAAATAATATGCTTTGGGCCGCCTGAGTAGTTTTCAAGAAGATCTTAGGAGCTGACCCATTTTGAAACTGGATGGCAAAATTCTTAATTCCATCACAGTCATTTAACACAAATCAAAGTGAGTATTTAAACCAATACTTTTTTTTTTTTAAGATTTTATTTATTTATTCATGAAAGACACACAGAGAGAGGCAGAGACACAGGCAGAAGGAGAAGCAGGCCCCATGCAGGGAGCCCGAAGCAGGACTCGATCCCAGGTCTCCAGGATCAGGCCCTGGGCTGAAGGCAGTGCTAAACCACTGAGCAACCGGGACTGGCCTAAACCAATACTTTCAACATACATGTGACTCAAGACTTCACTTCCCAAGTCAGATAAAACTTTCCCAAATTATTTAAGCTGAAAATAATTCTGTATTAATGACAGTTTTCAATTGACCTTCATGTCTTTTCAGCACTGCCACAGATATGCTCTAGCTCTACCCAGTCTTTTTTTTTTTTTAAGATTTTATTTATATATTCATGAGAGACACAGAAAGAGAGAGAGAGAGGCAGAAACATATGCAGAGAGAGAAGCAGGCTCCATGCAGGGAGCACAATGTGGGACTCAATTCCAGGACTAACAGATCACGCCCTGAGCCAAAGTCAGATGCTCAACCGCTGAGCCACCCAGGCATCCCTCTGACCCAGTCTTAAAACACCCTCTTGATTTACTATATTATGAGGAAAAAAACCCACAATTCTTATTCAGTATTTATCTATACCATTGAGACCATGGAAACTTTGAAATTTCAGCCATTTAAAATTCCTGGAAACATTTTTATCAAGCAAAATAAGGAAATTAATTCAAGGGGACTTACAGAGTAATTTTAATTCTTTCTCTGAAATGGACTCTGGTGCCTGTAAAGAGAGAAATACTAGTTTTGCTCCAGTATAAAAGAGGAGATGAACACAGGATGCAACACAAAGCCAATAGCTGGGAGATAGGGAGGCTTTCCCCACATGCTAGAAGAGCAGTGTAAAAACACCTTGTTTCCTTAGTGAAGGCCTTTCTCATTAGGCAGGTAAGTGAGAGATCCCACCTAAGAAGCCTAGAAGCAGTGCCAAATCCTCTATCTCTAAACCTTTTTGGCTCCTGGGGGTTACACAGTCAGGACAAAGGCACAGTGCACTTAGTTCCACAGCTTACCTGGCCAATAGACTGCAACAATTTGGCAACATGATTACCCACAGCAGCAGCATCTTTCTTTGCTTTTTCACGGTAACTGGAAAAGAACAACAAAAAGCTGCTTTTAACAAAATTTAAAATTAGCAAAATATAAATATTACCATGAAGCAAGGAAATTTCTTTCCTTTTCATGAAAAAAATACTGGTCTGGCAACACAAAACGTGAAAATGCCATGGGAAAAAAAAAAAAAAGAAAATGCCATGGAAATGCCACCAGCAGCAGCTACTACGGGCTGGGAGCCCTCCTGTTGTTGATGGTGGACTCTTGGAATCTACTAATACCTGGACTCCCTCTATAATTAATAGCATCTTAAAACTACCCTCCTAGAGGGATCCATGAAGCATGATCCATGCTTCTGAGGGGACCTGACAAAATATGTTACTGAAGAACATGATTTATAACCTTGAAGTTAAATCCAAGGAAAGTTAAATACTTCAAAACTGTCTATCTACAAATTCATGCAAACCTTTGAATCTATTTATATTTTCACTCTGAAGATAATCAGTGCAAAGTGGACTATCTCCAATGTGAGGTCAGACTTGTTTATCTTCAACTGACTGCCCAAGTTTGAAGTTACTGAACTTTTGGGCTAGGACCACAAAGATGTGTTAGGTAGACAGTGGCTGAGGTGAAGAATGCAGTATGTCTAAAGAACAGAAATCTGTGTGACATCACTTGGTCCTTGAGGAACCCAAGCCAGTAGCCCTGGATTCATCAGCAACATGCCTAAATTACAGCAACATGCCTAAATTACAGCAACATGCCTAAATCCACTGACACTCATGCTTATGACAGTCTATCTGGGTTCAGGGTAGTGACATCTAGATAGATGTTGTCTATCTCGTCACAAACTCTTTAAATTATGAAACATTATGATAAAAAATCCATCAAACTAAAAACTTCAAAGTTTTAAGTTACAGATAAAAGTTCCTACAGGGCCATGATTAAGAGTATAGAGCTGGGGAGTACAATCTGTTGAGTGTCTGACTCTTGGATTCAGCTCAGGTCATGATCTTGGGGTCATGGGATTGAGCCTTGTGTCAGGGCCCACCCAGGGCCTCAACCTCTGCACTCAGTGGGGAGTCTGCTTGAGGTTCTCCCTCTCCCTCTCCCTCTGCCCCATTCCCCCCTCCCTAAAAACAAAAAAAAATCTTTTTATTTTTATTATTTAGAAGATTTAATTTATTTATTTGAGAGAAAGCACACAGGGAGAGTTAAGGGAGAAGCAGACTCCCTGCTAAACAGAGAGCCCGAGGTGGGGCTCAATCCCAGGACCCTGAGATCATGACCTAAGCTGAAGGCAGATGCCCACCTAAATGAGCCACCCAGGCACGCCAATAAGTAAATCTTAAAAAAAAAAAAAAAAAGGAGTATAGAGCTGGGTTTCATGGATTCAAATCCTGGTTCTGCCATTTCCCAGCTATTTGACTGAATAAATTACCTTTTCGATGTTTCAGTTTCTTCATCTATAAAACTGGGATAATAATCGTTATCTCTCTCATAGAGTTGTTGTAAACAGTAAATCGGTTAATACATAGAGTGGTTCATAGCAAAGAGTTAAGTGCTCAAGTATTAGGTTTTTATCATGAAATATGAAAATCTGCCCCCTAGTCAGTACATGGGAACTCAGTACTTTCTGCTCAATTTTGCTGTAAACGTAAAACTACTCCAAAAGTAAAATCTATTTTAAAAAATCTGCCCACTAAGTTTTTTAGCTTATTTTTAAAGAAACTGTGACCGTCTTGCATTTGAATTCCATTAGAGTGGTAAAATATGTTCATCTGTACTATAAACAGGTCAATTTTTCAGTAACATAGTTTGAAAACAGTGACTTACACATTTTGCAGCTTTATATATTTGCTTGAATCTGCAATCATATCAGGAATTGTGCCTCGAACAGGTAAATTTCCTTGACCCTCTTTGGCCACAAATTCCTTTAAGGCACGAGCTAAAATCCAAAATGATGGAGTCTAAAAGATTAAGGAAAAAAATTAGTATTAAGTGGCATCTGAATTTGACCCAAAGGTTAAGAGGGTACTATTTACTTTTGGTTGTTACCTGTTTGGTGATATTTATGCAGTGATCATCATTAAATATATCTTCAATACTGCTTGGGATCTAACAAAGGAACACAAAACATTTACTTATTCTAAGAAGTATCCATCTATATTTTCAGTATTTCCCCAAACAAGTTCTTTGAATTGCTACATTCTAATCAAATACAAACTTCTGATGTGCTTAGACTTTAAAAAAAAAAAATTATTTATTTGAGAGAAAGAGAAAGGCAGCACACAAGTGGGATGAGGGGGAGAGGCAGAGGGAGAAGGTGAAGCAGACTCCCCCCTGAGAACAGAGCCCCACTCGAGATCCCAGGATCCTCTGACCCTAAGATCATGACCTGAGCCAAAAGCAGACACTTAATTGACTGAGCCACCCAGATGCCCCTGTGCTTACTTTTATTGAGAATCAGTACTAGACAGAGATTTGAAGAGATAAGAGAGAATGGAAGGAAGTCCTTTCCTGCCCACTGTTGACACCATTAAAGACTGACTGTTCTCTTCCATCATACATGGAGTAAAAAAAGAGTCAAAGTAAATCTTTCCATATAGTTACATTTGAAGATATAACAAAGATTTCAGACATTACTAGTAAGCTAGATTTGTAGTCCTTCGTGTGTCTCCATCTTGTCAAAAATTTGCAACCCTTACACCCTAAGTTAGTAACTATTGGAGACAAGAACTCTGAAAACTAAATAGTTAAATAAGTACTTCTAATGCTGGCATTAATAACAACTATAGAAGTTGTACACTTTGATTCTACAGCTGTGAGGAAAAAAGAAATTTCTTACTGGTAACCCTAACTGGTCTCTCTGCTTCTGCTTCCAGTCCCCTATGGTCTATTCTCTTCGCAAGAGCCAGAATGACTTTTTAGAAATATAAATCAGGTCACTCCGCTCCTTGCTCAAAACATCTCAACGGCCCCCTCCTGATCCTAGAACTCCTCATCCTCATGCTCTACCCCTCTGCTCTGCTCAGCTCAAATTTTGTTGATAGCACCTGGTATATTTATCTGTTTTCTAAGCTTACTAATCAGAATCTAATTAGGAGAACTTTTTTTTCTTTTAAATCGGGGTAAATTTTACATTCAGTGAAATCAATCTTAAAGGTATAGTTTGATGCATTTTGATTACTATGCATGTCCTTCTAATCATCACCTCAATTAAGATACTATAGAAAATTTTCATCACCCCAGAAAACTAACAAAGAATACACTTTTAATTATTCAGCAACCCTACCTCATTGTCTCCAAAAAGTTTGTAATGACAGCTGATGTGCTTTCTTAATGTGAAAGGCAGCATTTTTTACCATTTTAAATTATAAAAATATTCTTTTTTAAAACTTTACTTTTTTTTAAGATTTTATCTATTTACTCATGAGAGACACACAGAGAGAGAGGCAGAGACACAGACAGAGGGAAAAGCAGGCTCCATGCAGGGAGCTTGACATGGGACTTGATCCCGGGTCTCCAAGATCACACCCTGGGCTGAAGGCGGCACTAACAGGCTGAGCTACCTGGGCTGCCCATAAAAAGATTCTTATCTTAAAATACCAGTTGTGGGAACACCTGGGTGGCTCAGCGGTTGAGCATCTGCTTTCAGCCCAGGACGTGATCCTGGAGACCCAGGATCAAGTCCCATGTCAGGCTCCTTGCATGGAGCCTGCTTCTCCCTCTGCCTGTGTCTCTGCCTCTCTCTCTGTGTGTCTCTCATTAATAAATAGTCTTAAAAAAAAAAAAAACAGTTGTGTTATAGAAATTTCCCAAAAACTTTACTGGCAAGACTGTAACAACAAAACAAAGGGCATCTAAACTGAGTCATCCTCCAAATAATATTTTACAACTTCATTAAGAACATCCTACATTAAAAAAAAAGAACATTATAGCCAAACAACTACTGTCACGAGAAAATGCAGGGTAAGACTTAACTTTCAGGCAGTACTATTTTGGGCCAGCAAAATATCACCCTCATTATATAATTCCTACACCCAAACTGTGACTATTCACAAATCATGTACTTCAAATAATTTATATAAATATTTATAAATTTATAATATATTATATATACATAAACTATATATAATTTATATAAATAGGGCAGCCCGGGTGGCTCAGCGGTTTAGCGCTGCCTTCAGCCCAGGGCCTGATCCTGGAGACCTGGGATCGAGTCCCATGTCAGGCTCCCTGCATGGAGCCTGCTTGTCCCTCTGCCTGTGTCTCTGCCTCTCTCTCTCTCTGTGTCTCTCACGAATGAATAAATAAAATGTTAAAAAAAATTTATATAAATAAAAAAATATCACTATTATACGCTGAAGCACTGACATCCATTTTAACAAGGATGATGCAGAGTCTTTTTAAAATAAGATTCAATCCATATTATAAATATTAATTTCTAACAACTTTACAATTTAGGAAATATTAACTTAAATCTAAAATCAAGGTACCTGTATGGCTCAGTCAGTTAAGGACTAAACTTGTGATTTCAGATCAGATCATGATCTCAGGGTCATAAGATGGAGCCTGGCATCAGGCTCCACAATCAGCAAGGAGTCAGCTTGGGATTCTCTCCCTCTTCTTCTCCCCGTGCTGCGCCCCCAGCTCATGCACACATGCACACACACAAGTATACACATGTGCTCGCTCTCTTTCTCTACAGTAAATAATTTTTTTAAAAAGCCTAAGATCAACTATTTCACATGAGAACTTCAGAAAACACCTTTCTTGTATGAATTCTTCAGCAACACTTTTAATACCTGAGTTGTATTTAGGGCTGTGTTCACATTTTTAATAGCTTCCTCAAAATTCTCTTCATCTTCCGGAGCCCCATTTTCATTCTTTAGAATTCCTAATAAAATAGAAATTGGTTAGCAAAAAATAGCCCTGTTCTTACCCCTTTGCTCTCCCTAACATTATGAAAATAACCTTGTCAGGACTTTTTTTTTTTTAATCAATAGTAAAGTTTATTGACTGATACAAAGTCCCAAAGAAGGAGGGGACCTGAAAAGGCTGCCCTAACCTCATCAGATCTTAAAGGGAGGATAGGATATTGAAACTTAAGAAACAGGCTTATCATTAGTCATTTCTTAAAATGAATATTAGTAGCTCACCTCTATTAAGTTTTTATTCTGTAACAGACACTGTTAAACGTACTTCACATTTTATTGTATGAATGAATCCTCACAACAACCCATGAGGTAGGTATCAGCAGCCCCCAGTTCCTCATTTACTGATGAGGAAACTATCATTAGTCATTTAAAAAACTATATGATGAGTGGCTCCTAAGCCTCCCCTGAGGAAAAATAAAATACAAGCTCATGATGGCATTGTCTGACAAAGCTGCTGACAAAAATCCAATAAACAGATTCAAGCAATTTGCTTCTCAAACTTTAAACAACATTCAGTTACATCTCATCATATTACCTTGTCTAATCAAATCTCTGAAGTCTTCTTTTTCCTTATATGTTTTAGGTATTCGTCCATTTGTCTAAATTGGTTGAAAAATTTTAAATTCTAGTTACAAAAAATCAAAACATGGAAACTGAGAGTGCAAAACTTCCCCCATTCTCCCATCCACATAAGATTTTATCAGCAAATACATACCTCAGTAAAATCAGAGGCTGACTTGAAAGAAAACAAAAACTGTGCACCATTTCTCTACATTCACTCCCCACTTCAGTTTCAGAATGATGTTTATTGATATTTCATTTTATTAATAAAAATATCAGTATCAAAAGAGGAACTGTGAGATTTATTTATTTTTTTTTTAATTTTTATTTATTTATGATAGTCACACACAGAGAGAGAGAGAGGCAGAGACACAGGCAGAGGGAGAAGCAGGCTCCATGCACCGGGAGCCCGACGTGGGACTCGATCCCGGGTCTCCAGGATCGCGCCCTGGGCCAAAGGCAGGCGCCAAACCGCTGCGCCACCCAGGGATCCCCGAACTGTGAGATTTAAACAGAAAAGTAACCACCTCCCATTTAAGCACTTAAGGAAAAGAATCTCCCCTCACTCTTCTCCAATGAGATCCTTTATGATAAGTTGAAAATACAGTCACACAAGAAATTTGTGTTTTTAAAAAAGGACATACCTCACTATACCACTGTGCTAAATATTTGGCTATGATCACAATCCATGGAGTATGGCTATGATCCTAAAAATGAAAGAAAAATCAAGGAAAATGAATTAGTTAACATTAACTATTTTACGTTTATTCTTTATCACATCATCTCATTTTCTTTCTTTCTTTTTTTAAGATTTTATTTATTCATGAGAGACACACACGGGAGAGAGAGAGAGAGGCAGAGACACAGGCAGAGGGAGAAGCAGGCTCCATGCAGGGAGCCTGATGTGGGACTTGATCCTGGGTCTCCAGGATCACGTCCTGGGCTGAAGGCAGGCGCCAAACCACTGAGCCACCCAGGGATCCCCACATCATCTCATTTTCAACAAATACAACAGTGTTTATGATCATCTCCCAGGACATGTAATATAATGAATGGAGAAAAATGAACTGGGTTAAGAAAATTGCTTTATTAACTTTTTTAGAAGCAGTATCCAATTTATCCTAATATGGCAGGTTTGTACTATGATTGTCCCCATTTTACCAGCAAGAAAACAGTCTCAGAGACTGCTACCCAAAAAAGAAAGCTCAAATCTCTTGATTTCAGATACCAACCGTAGACTGAGAAAACTGTTTTCTGATGAAACAAATACCTGCATTTTAATTAGTACATGAGCAGGAAAAAAAACAAATACTCCTTAAGTTACATAGTCTATTATAAATATCATTACTTCTATAATGAAATACAGAGTTGCCTTGGTAATTCTTCAAACACTAAAAATAACTTTCAAGAGGAATCAATTTCAACAAACACCCACTCCAAATTTACACTTTTTAAAGTGTACATCTAATTGGGCCATGAAGAGGGCCATGAAGAGGCTGCTGGGATATGTTAAATGAACAATTTCTTGACCAAAGCTTTTCCAATTTTGGTGGAAAACAAATTTACTTCAAAAAAATTAAGTATGGGCAGCCCCGCTGGCATAGCGGTTTAGCGCCGTCTGCAGCCCAGGGCATGATCCTGGAGACCCTGGATCGAGTCCCACATTGGGCTCTCTGCATGGAGCCTGCTTCTCCCTCTGCCTGTGTCTCTGCCTCTCTCTCTCTCTCTCTCTATGAATAAATAAAATCTTTAAAAAACAAAAAAAGTACAATGTGTTATATAATCTGCATGACAAGAATATGAATATTTATAATATTTTCTCACTGTGGTGTAATTAAAAAACCATACGTAAAAAAAAAAATCTTTTAATCTATAAATGGAAAGTCATACATACTACCAACCTTTTTTTCCATACGATCCAAATCATAAGACTGAAAATGTTCTCTCAGTTCAGGAAATGGCTTATCCAGTCGTAGATCCTCTAATGCATTATCTGGATGAGATTCTATTACTATGAAACAATCCCAAAAGGTAAATTTCTTTAATAATACTTCTGGAATACACTACATTATAGGGACTTAAGAAATCTATAATTTCTAAATGCGCATAGGACCTATAGGTTTTTTTCTCTTTCTTTTTCCCACCAAGGAACGGACTTTACTTATTTTTTCAAAGTAAGCTCCAATGTGGGGGCTTGAACTCACAACCCCAAGATCAAGAGTCCCATGCTCCACCTAATAAGCCCAGCAGGCACCCCTTTTCTGTTCATTATTGAGATAAATTTACATACACATATATATTCACATTTTACTAACTGCACAAATTATAGGTGGACTATAGGTTTAATAAAAGTAAACTCAAAATTCCTTTGGAGCTGAATTTTCTTGCTATTATAATTTAAAAAGATCAAAACTGATAAAGTATGTATTCGGATAGCACTTAACCTCCTGTGGTCTTCAATAGACAACATCATGACCTACCTAGACCTCTTTCCTAGAAACCTGATGATTATCCTTGACTTTTTTTTTTTAAGATCTCATTTTTAAGTACTCTTTACATGCAATGTGGGGCTCAAACTTACAAACCCAAGATCAAGAGTTGCATGCTCTTCTGACTGACCCAGCCAGGCGCCCCTATCCTTGACTTCCTTCTTCCTTGACCAACATCTGTCATGCCACATGTCCTAATATCACACTTCTCCATATGGGGGTAGTATAGGAATGTGTAATTTCAGTGTGTGTTTAAAGCTAAAGTTAGTTCTGTCATTTGCCAGCTGTGTGACTTTAGGCAAATAATCTCTCTGGTGCCTCAGCATCCTCATCTGCAAAAAAGTGGATACAGTACTTTATGAGGATTTTAGAAATATTATATGAAATAATCCACATTAAGGCAGCCACACAGCTGGCAACATTAATTCTCATTATTAACTACCTTCACTTCCCTATCCTTATAATATCTGCCTTAGGTCAGGGGCTCAGTTTCTGTCTCCCCACCTAGCTACACCACTGTAAATTTCCTAACACCAACTCCTGCCTCTAATATTTGCCTCTTCAAATCCATTCATTCTCTATCCCACTTCAGGGTGACACATTTGAAATAAAATTTTCACCATGTCACTCTCCAACTTAGAACTTTTTGTTTTGTTTTGTTTTGTTTTGTTTTCCAACTTAGAACTCTTAAAGAGCCTACTACCACCTGCCAGGAGCCTACCCCCTACCACAAGCCAACCCCTAACTGCTTGAGCAGATACTACTCCCCAGTGATACTACCAACACCAATGGCTATCATTACACTAGCAGAGTACCTGGCTTAGAGCAATGTAGGAATACTGAATGAAAACTGGAAAAAAAAAAAAAAAAAAGAAAACTGGATGATGATATATAATTAAAAATTTGTGGGCAGCCCAGATGGCTCAGCGGTTTAGTGCTGCTTTCGGCCCGCAGCGTGATCCTGGTGACCCGGGATCAAGTCCTGCGTCAGGCTCCCTCCGTGGAGCCTGCTTCTCCCTCTGCCTATGTCTCTGCTTCTCTCTCTCTCTCTCTCTCTCTCTCATGAATAAATGAATAAAATTTTAAAAAATTGTAAGTAAGGGGTGGCCGGGGAGCACAGTCAGTTATGTGTCTGACTCAGTTTCAGCTAAGGTTATGATTTCAGGGTCATGAGATTGAGCCTCACGTCAGAAATCTGCTTGAGATTCTCTCTCTCCCTCTCCCTCTCCCTGTCCCACTCATGCTCTCTCTCAAATAAATAAAATCTTTAAAAAAATTTGTAAGTAAAGGGCTAATATCATCCTTGAGCTGATGATGTAAGCTTCCTATGTATGACATCAGTCTCCTATAACACTGTTTCCTTGGAGTAGTAGTTAAGTAAATGCCTTGCTTATTGTGTAGAACTATACCTGAACTGAGGGAGCTTAATGCCTCTATGAGAATGGAATGAAAGATTGGCAGAGAAAAGGTGGTATGTCATCTATGTGACACTGTGACCCCACATGCCTTGGCCCTCACCTGTAGCAGTCCTACATACCCTATGTGGGTTAGGAGGCAAAAAAAAAAGATACGGACTTGCTTTGCTACTAGGCCTCCTAATAAGATGAAGCAGCTATACCTGCTGTATCTCCTGCTTTGTATCCTATAAATGCCAAGTTAAAGGAAATGTTAGATTAATGTCTGTTGATTCTAATTGTCATTCTGAAACTGTAACCAGAGTTGTGCAGCTACAAATTAACTTTGTAATTTATTTTAAAAGATTTTATTTATTTATTCCTGAGAGACAAAAATAGAGACACAGATACATAGACAGAGGGAGAAGCAGACTCCCCAGAACCCTGGGATCACAACCTGAGCTGAAGGCAGATACTCAACCACTAAGCCACCCAGGTGCCCCATACTTTATAATTTAAAATTGACTTTCTAAACTGTCAGGTTTCTAAAACTGTAGCTTAAAGCAACCAATGGCAAGCTCCATATGTGCAACAGTTTTACCTGGATGTTCTTTTATAATGATCCTCATATAACCAACTAGTCCATATGTCCTACAGATCAGAAGAGGTATTTGTGAATTCCAGAGGACATCCGCTAAACGTAGTAATGTACTGTGAAGGAAAGCACGATAAATAAGAACATAAGCAAATGGTTATATGCCAAACATGAAAATACCTTAAAATAAAGCAACTTTCTTACTAAGTAATAAATGCAAAGATATACACCTATTAAATTTATACAAAGCAGGTCATGGACACACTGGAAAAACAAGCAATTTCCACAGTTGCAGCAGTCTCACAGAAAGTGTTTCTTTTGGACTAGAAGGATATGAAAGCAACCTCTTTTGTGTTAGGGAAAATGTTATTGAAAGACACTTCCTAAACATTTCCATAACAAAGAGGAAAATATTTACAAAACCCTTAGGTACACTCCCAAGCACACTCTATAATTCTAACTAGTTTTTTTCATCAAAAAAATACCAATGTTTGGGATCCCTGGGTGGCTCAGCGGTTTAGCGCCTGCCTTTGGCCCAGGGCGCGATCCTGGAGTCCCGGGATCGAGTCCCACATCAGGCTCCCTGCATGGAGCCTGCTTCTCCCTCCTCCTGTGTCTCTGCCTCTCATTCTCTCTCTCTCTCTCTCTCTCTCTCTCTCATAAATAAATAAATAAATCTTTAAAAAAATACCAATGTTTAATTTAATTGCTCTAAATATATATTAAGAAAAATTTCATAGCTTAGTATTTTCTCTTCCCTATCTTTTTGATGTTGGGGACTTATAAGCACTTCCAATTAAACATTTCTGTGGAGTTTAAGAATTCTAAGAACTACAGGGGCACTTGGTGGTTCAGTCGGTTAAGCATCTGACTCTTGATTTTGGCTCAGATCATGATTTCAGGGTCGTGAGATCAAAAGCCCCACATCAGGCTCCATGCTCAGTGAGGAGTCGGCTTGGGATTCTTTTTCTCCCTCTGCCAACCCCGCCCCAAATTGTAATTTAGAAATACGAATTTCTCTCTCTCAAATAAAGAAATGACTCTTAAAAAAAAAAAAGTAGAGATTTTGTAGAGAAAACAAAACTATGCAAATCTAACAAGACTAAAATAAAAACAAATTAACATAAAAATTTACCTTTCAGGAAGCTGAGTTGCAACCACAATGGTAAACCTACAGAAAAATGAAGGATCATTGTCTAGAAGGTTTTCTGGACTCTAAATAGGACACAGGAAAAAAATTCGACAATTTCACAATCATATTAAACATGGCAGAAACAGTTAAGCTATTTTTGAGCAAATGAGGCAACATCCTAGACTTAAATGTTAAAGTAATTCAACTCTCAATTAAACATAAATATAGGGATCCCTGGGTGGCGCAGCGGTTTGGCGCCTGCCTTTGGCCCAGGGCGCGATCCTGGAGACCCGGGATCGAATCCCACGTCAGGCTCCCGGTGCATGGAGCCTGCTTCTCCCTCTGCCTATGTCTCTGCCTCTCTCTCTCTCTGTGTGTGTGACTACCATAAATAAATAAAAAATTAAAAAAAATTTTTTTAAAATAATAAAAAAAATAAAATAAAATAAACATAAATATACAGGAGATCCCTGGGTGGCTCAGCGGTTTAGTGCCTGCCTTCAGCCGTGGGCGAGGTCCTGGAATCCCAGGATGGAGCCTGCTTCTCCCTCTTCCTGTGTCTCTGTCTCTCTCATGAATAAATAAATAAAATCTTTAAAAAAAATAAATATACAAAGATTCTAAATTCTAAATGCTAGGGTGCCTGGCTGGCTCAGTATAACATGGGACTCTTAATCTCAGAGTCATGAATTCAAGCCTCACATTGGGTGTAGAGATTATTAAAATAAATAAACTCAAAATTCTAAATTCTTAGGGGTTTGAATTATTAAAAAATTACACTTCCACATAAAAATAATAATATGTATACATATATACCTCTTCCACAAAATTCCCAGAGACATCGTTATTTAATTCTTGTAAGAATTCCATGGCAGCTTGAGCTCGGTTCTTTTTAAAAACAAAGCATTTGACTTAAATTAGAAAAAATTTGGTTGAAATGTAACTCCTCACATTACAGATTAAGCAAACATATTAAAAAATACCCAAATTTCATGCATAGATATGTTAACTCTGCTTTTTGTAGTATTTAAGCTGAGGCTCAACTGTAGTATTACTTTAAAAACTACTTAAGTGACTATATTATTTGTACCCAACTTTTCTGATTAGGCAAATGACCAGAAAACCTTGGGTAGCAGGCAGACATATTCTGGACCAAGTTTAGACTCCCTGTAACCTCCTATATGAGAGAGGTAAATCAAAGAAATAGTCATTTCCATCCAGAATATTGTACTATGTTGACTATTATGGCTTTGTAAGAATTTTAATATGGAACATACAAAAATAAAAGATATGCTATCTAACTTAAAACCTTGCTATCCAAAAACAAACAAACAAAAAACAAACCATGCTAACCAGAATATTCCATCCTTTAAACATTTACAACTTATGTTGAACTCAAGGTTTAGCTTTAATACAGGATACAGCATAAAAACATAGACAGTACTTTTAAGTTCTTAAACTACCAAGTATATAAAGATTTGCAAGATAAAAAAAAGAGCTAATTTAACTTTTTTCTCAGAAAAGAAATAATCTCTTGAAAAGTCAAGGCTTTTTAAGCAATCAAAACATAGTGGCATCATTAGATGCTCACACGCAACTATATTCTATAATAAACTGATGGTTTACCTTCCCGATGCTGCTTCTTTGAAGGAAAAAACTAGAATAGAATTAAAGAAAAATTAAGGGCTTCTTTGACTACAAAGGAAAGGTTATTTGTTATACCAGGTATATTTCCTTCATATAATAACACTAACTGTATTTTGATTCTAGATTATAATAGCCTTCCTAGAGGATGGTAACAGGATGAAACTTATAATCAAAGCCCAGGCTAATCAATGTTACCAAAGCCAGTACCACAGAATATAAATTTCGTAAGATGCTGTGAGAGAAGAAAAATTCCCTGGTTTTACAAAGTTACGGATATACTATATATTTCCCTCCTGGAAATTCATAATAAATATAACACATGTTATTAAGGCCTTGTATTATAGAAATGTTTAACTTCATTTGGCCCATTCCCAAACTCATTTGACCATGGAATCCATTTGCTCATTTAGCAGCTATTAACATTTCCTAGAGCCAGTGTTCCACAGACTACACTTGGGAAATGCTATATTCAACTGCTTGCTTTTGCAGGTTAACTATAACAGACTTATTCAGGTTTCTTCCTACACATACCCTTGTCATATCTCAAGGCCCAGATCTGAGGCAGGGTGCCATTTTGTAGCACAAAATCAGTGGCTCCATAAGAAAAAGAAACCTTACTCTTATCACATGCTGCTCTAACCAACCAAGTAAGCAAAGATAATAGGACTTTTTTTTTTTTTTTACAGAAAAAAAGGGCACTGCTGTAGATACACTACCACCCAAAGAAAAAGTATCAAAGCTCAATACAAACTAAATTCCAACTTTCCTTGTATGAACTCACTGTTGTCATACACTAACAAATATAATGAGAGAGGGACGCCTGGGTGGCTCAGCAGTTGAGCGTCTGCCTTCGGCTCAGGTCATGATCACGGAGACCCAGGATCACGAGTCTCACATCAGGCTCCCTACATGGAGCCCGTTTCTCCCTCTGCTTATGTCTCTGCCTCTCTCTCTCTCTGTGTCTCTCATGATAAATAAATAAAATCTTAAAAAGATATATATATAAATCTTAAAAAACATATATGTATAAAATCTTAAAAAACATATATAAAAATCTTAAATATATATATATATATATATATATATATATATATATATATATATAATGAGAGATTCCAGCCTCCAAATTCCTGAAAAGAGCCTGTAATTCAAATCTGGGAATGCTTTGAAAGTCTGTATTGTGATCATCTTTAAAAAATAACATACAGCCCATCTTTAAAGCAGCATTTTTACAGAGGCAAAGGAATGTACAGAGAGTTGTGCCTGGACTGAGCTCAGAAGAAACACAAATAAAAGGTAGTTATTATTCTTATAATCCGAAAATATTTTTTTCAAAAATACAATTATTTTAAATTATGTACTAACCCCTAGGAATCAATGCAAGGACTTAGAAATTGTCTAGATTTCACAGATCAAGGAATAATGACTGCCCCTTTGCACTAATAACAACAATGAAGACAATAATGCTGGGTACCTTTTATTAATGGCCTATCTGATGGACACTGTGCTAACACTTTACCTATACTGATTTACTTCACCTTCACCATAATCCTAAACACGGGGATTATTTCCACCTGAGAGTCAAGTCACCTTGATTGAGGAGGTGAAGTTGGGATTTAGGCCTTACTCTCCTGTGACAGTGAACTGCCTTCCCTAACATACATGTGTTTGAAAAGAATAGAACATACTTATTTCCAGCATCTTCTCCGCTGACCTGATTTCCATCAATAATTGTAAATGAACCAATACCTGGAAGACCAAACAGAGTCAGTCAAGAACACATATTTCTAGTTCAAAACTGTAAGGAGTAAATTTACAATCACAGAACTACATTACCTGGTAGTACCAAGTTTTTAAGAATTTCAGTTCCTGTTGCTGTTGCATTTATTAGGCAAACATGAGCAGATTCTAAAGCCTCTTGCCCATGATCACCCCACAACCTACAAAACAAGACACAAATTCGACATTTCTCAAACTTTCATACAAATGCAACTTTCTTGTTTGCATAGTGATCTTTGATCTTCAAAGTGTTCTTGCACAGAATGGCTGATGTGATAACCCTGGTAAACATGTGAGACAGGAAGAACAGCAGGGGTTATAGTGATTACATAGCTGAGTAACCTAAGACTCAGGTTGATGCCTCCCATGATTAGAAGGGGATCAAATCAGTACTAAAAACTTGGTCTTCCAGCTCCTTGTCCATTACTCTTTTCAAGCCAGATAACATACATTCTGTATGTTCTCATTCATTTGGGAATCAATTAACATTAAAGAACTGCCTTAGACTTAAAACCTATTTTGTTCTCTATTTCATTTCTCTTTAAATTACATAGGCCAGGGGATCCTTGGGTGGCTCAGCGGTTTAGCACCTGCCTTTGGCCCAGAGCATGATCCTGGAGTCCCGGGATCGAGCCCTGCGTCAGGCTCCCGGCATGGAGCCTGCTTCTCCCTCTGCCTGTGTCTCTGTCTCTCTCTAAGTCTATCATGAATAAATAAATAAAATCTTAAAAAAAAAATTACATAGGCCCAGTATATTTAAGATCTTGACGTAGAACTTACCCCTGTAATATCTCCAAGAGTGAGGAAAGCTTTACCAAGAAAACTGAATTATCGTTATCTGAAGTCTCACATTGACTTCTAAAGGAGTGCTTTAAAATATAATACCCAACCCTCATTTTAATAGCATGATTAATAAATGCATACATTAACAAACACAAAGATATAATAAGGATTAGAAATATGTTATAACCTGATTTGCACTGGCATATCATTAGCGAGGCAAGGAGCATGATCATACATGCATCATGGTATCTGGCCCAATCTGGTTATCTTCACCCAGAAAGCCTACTGTCTTTTCTTCTAAGTATAGGAAGTACAAAAATCACTAGAAAAATGCCACAGTCTGGAGGACTGAGGCTTTAATGTGCTTCCTCTGTCACCTGATCTAAAGCAGATTCCGTTATTGTGTAGCCAGTATGCCTTCCAGAGCACATCAGAACTACTTCAACTGGTTTTTGTTGTTGTTTTGTTTGTTTGTTTGTTTGTTTTGAGGAACATTCATCTTTCAATTCCACTCTAAGTTCCATGAGGGCCCAGATAACTCCCTACATGCACCACTGGAGCCCCAATGCCTGGCACACTGCCTTGCCCAGAGTAAGTGATCACTGAACAGCTGTCAAATGAATGAAGGAATAGCCTAGAAGAACCAGAGAAACTGGGAACATTAGTTTTTTCTATGAAAGTAGGGCACACAGAACACACCTGACAAATCTGGTGGATGGATGTTTGGGTATTCAGATAGTGAGCCTAAGAGAATATTGGTGCATCTCTAGGTAATGTGTTTCAAGAAAGAGGCCAGATAAGAAATCAATCCTCTTAGCTCCCTTGCAGGCCTAACTATGAATAGCACGGCCTTGTTGACTGCAGCTATGAAAAGTAAAATTTGGTCCTTAACTGGATTAGACTCCGCAAAAACTTTCTTTTGTGGGACACCTGGGTGGCTTAGTGTTTGAGTGTCTGCCTTTGGCTCAGGGTGTGATCCTGGAGTTCAGGGATCAAGTCCCACATTGGGCTCCCCGCGGGGAACCCACTTCTCCCTCTGCCTATGTCTCTGCTTTTGTCTTTGCCTCTCTGTGTCTCTCCTGAATCAATAAATAAAATCTTAAAAACAAAACAACAAAAAAAAAAAAAAACACCTCTCTTTTGTTGCAGTTACTTAGTAACATAAAATATCTTCTCAGATCTGTCTTGTATGGTTATATCTAAATTCAAAACACAACCAATCCCTACGATCCAGCAATTGCACTGTTAGGGATTTACCCCAAAGATTCAGATGCAATGAAACGCCGGGACACCTGCACCCCGATGTTTCTAGCAGCCATGTCCACAATAGCCAAACTGTGGAAGGAGCCTCGGTGCCCATCGAAAGATGAATGGATAAAGAAGATGTGGTCTGTGTATACAATGGAATATTACTCAGCCATTAGAAACAACAAATACCCACCATTTGCTTCAACGTGGATGGAACTGGAGGGTATTATGCTGAGTGAAGTAAGTCAATCAGAGAAGGACAAACAGTGTATGTTCTCATTCATTTGGGGAATATGAATAATAGTGAAAGGGAATATAAGGGAAGGGAGAAGAAATGTGTGGGAAATATCAGAAAGGGAGACAGAACATAAAGACTTCTAACTCTGGGAAATGAACTAGGGGTGGTGGAGGGGGAGGAGGGCGGGGGGTGGGGGTGAATGGGTGTCGGGCACTGAGGGGGACACTTGACAGGATGAGCACTGGGTGTTATTCTGTATGTTGGTAAACTGAACACCAATAAAAATTAATTCATTAAAAAAATAAAAAAAAAAAACACAACCAATGCTAAGAATTTACAAAACAACACAAGTTGATTACAAGAGCTCTGTCACCTTGCTTCCTTTCCCAGAAGCTTGGGAGCAGAGGGATGTGCCTGAGAACAGGCTCTGAAAAGGCAAGAAGGGCCTATGTTTACATCCTCACCCAAATACAGGGGAGACTGGGCCAGTTATCTAACTTCTCCAAGACTGTTTCCCCATCTACAATGCCAAGAGAATGTCTGCTTCAAAGATGCTCTCAATGGTTCCTGGGTGGCTCAGCTGGTTGAGCGTCTGCTTTCGGTTCAGGTCAGGATCCTAGGATTCTGGGATCGAGTCACATCAGGCTCCCTGCTTGACAGAGAACCTGCTTCTCCCTTTCCTGCTCCTCTCTGCTTGTGTTCTCACTCTCTCAAATAAATAAATAAAATCTTAAAAAAGAAAAGAAAAAAAGATGCTCTCAGGCTTAAGTGCCCAAAGGCCCTAATGCAGGAAGAGGCTATAGGTGCATATGGAAGTTCCAGGGGACATATAGGGACATACTGTAACTTCTCTGTGCTTGGGGGGGGGGGGGGCTCCAAAAGGGGTGGGGACCAAGCATTTGTGTTACTTCCATTGCCTTAATGCGTAGAAGATGCTCAATAGGGGAATCCCTGGATGGCTCAGCGGTTTAGTGCCTGCCTTTGACCCAGGGTGTGATCCTGGAGACCTGGGATTGAGTCCCATGTTGGGCTCCCTGCATGGAGCCTGCTTCTCCCTCTGCCTGTGTCTCTGCCTCTCTGTCTCTCTGTGTCTCTCATGAATAAATAAAATATCTTAAAAAAAAAAAAAAAGATGCTCAATAAGTAAGAAATGTGGAGTGTGGGAGTAAAGGAAAGGGAGAGGAATTAGCCAAGGACCTGCCTGATGGCTTGGACTTGCAGTGTCCACTAAAGTAGCCATTAACTCCATCTGGCTACTGAGCACTAAAAAATGAGGCAAGTCGGAACTGAGATGTGCCTAAAAGTGTAAAACGCCAGATTTCCAAGACAGTGTGGGGGGGAAAAAAAAGTAAAATATCCCTAATAAATGTCTATACTAAGTGTGAAAATGGTAATATTGTGGATATACTGGGTTAAATGTACTAAAATGAATTTCACCTGTTTCTTCTTCTTTTCTAACGTGGCTACTAGAAAATGTGGTCACTCCATCCGCGGCTCACACCCGACGGGCATCTACTGCGGCTGGACGGCGCGGGCCCGGCCGAGCCCCGCCCTGGGCGGCCCGGGGGGTGCAGCCGACCCCCGACTCTGCTTCACGAGCGGCGGGCGCGCAGCGAGGCGGGGCCGGCGGGGCCGCGGACCTCGAGCCGCACTCCGCGTGGAGCCCCGGGGGCGCCCGGGCCCCAGGCCGCCGGCCCCGCCGAGCCCCGCCGAGCCCCGCCGAGCCCCGCCGAGCCCCGCCGGCCCGCCCCCCGGACCCCGGACTGCCCGGCCCGGCCCGGCCCGGCCCAGGGAGGCCTGCAGGAGGCCCGACGCGCCGCCCGCTCGCTCAGGCCCGGCCAGGACGCAGGGGAGCCCGCCGGCCGCCCGCCCGGCTCGGGGAGCCCCGGCTCACCTCAGCTGCCGGTCGTACTTCTGCTCCTTGAGCAGCTTCCCCGGTTGCGCCATGGCCGCACCCGCCGCGCGAACAGCCGAGCCCCGCCGCGCGCCGCCGCCACCTCCACGAGCGCGCAGGCGCACTGAGCGCCTGTCGCCGCCGCCGGCAGGGGGCGCCACCGCCTCACTGCGCACGCGTGGCCGGCAGCCTGGCAGCCTGGGAGCCCGCGGCCCGAGCCCGCCGCGGGTCTGGGCCCCGGGCTGGAGCCCTGCGGGTCCCCCAGTCCTAGCTTTGTACCTGCAGTCACCGGGGGCCCCTCGGGCTCCGGGACCCGGCACGTTTGGTTTTTAACCACGTACTGTTTGTGGCACTTGCTCTTACCTCTCAAATCCTCTGTTCCCCTGTGCAGTCAGGATACATGGGTCTCCTATTTCTCTTGTGTAGTTAATAACCTTCACTATTATGATCCTTACTGGCCATTCATTTCTTCCACCCTCTCCTGCAACGAGCCCGCAGGAGGGGCTGTTTGAAATCACAAAGTTAGTTGCTCCCAGCTGCAGATCCAAGGACAAATAGGTACCTGGCCCTGTTCTTGAGAAGGCCACAAGCTCTCCTATAAATAGAGGGAAGCTGGAGTCCTGAAAGGTGCCCGGAGGAACACTACCCACTCCTCCTCTTTTCCAGGAATGTCTCACATCGCGTGGACAAAGAATGTTTTGAGCAGAAGGAACACCAGGTGTCATTCCTGGGAGGCAGAGAAGGCATGGCAGGATGGAGGCTCCAAAGGAAGTGTGATGTGGGGAGTTAGGTGAAGGGTAAGACATGATCAGGGGAGGCCTGAGAGGCAGTAGGGGCAAGGTCATGAGCTTCCCCCCTGCCCCCCTGAATATAAACGCAAGAAAGAATGTAAAGCCCTCTACTTTCTGTGAAGAGTCACTTCTCAGGAAGAGGATAGCTGTCAAGGAAGAGAGTTACCCCAAGAGAAAGGGGGAGAGGAGACAGGAAGCCAGAAGAGGAGCAGGGAGGGAGATGAAGGTTTGTTGCCTTCTATCTCCTAGACCCTACAGGCACCCTCAGGTTAAAAATTGCCTAAAATAAGGTGAAAATGAGTACGGATCCCAGCCTTGAACCCACCCTGGGATGCGGATGGGAGGAGGGACTGTTTGACAGTAATGATGGAGTGAGATGATGGATGCAATTTCCCTGGGTGCTGTCCCCAGGATCGGGGTGGGGCACACCTTCTTATGACTTCCCTAGCCCTTACCCAGCATCCATGGATTACAACTGATGGGAAACAGAGGCATGAGGCTCTCCCAGCGTGTCATGTGTTTCTGCTCTCACATTTCCTTCTCCAGTGGGACAGGTAAAATATAAGGGATAATAAAATACACCCAGGGAATGTGAGAAGGTCAAAAGGCAACAGGTAAGAGTTCACTGCTTAACTTCTCATGCTCTGTGCAGTCATGGTCTGCATGAAAGGAAACGTCCCCAAATTTGATGGGGGAAGTCATAATGCCTATGAAGAAATGGATGAATTTGACAAAGGTTTGTGTTGGTGGAGTCTGGAAGATACCACACAGCATCAGTTTCCTAGAACTGCTGTAACAAAGTACCACAAACTGGGTGGCTTAAAACTATAGACATGTCTGGACACCTGGCTGTCTCAGTCAGTAGAGCATGAAACTCTTGATCTTGAGGTTGTAAGTTCGATCCCCATGTCAGGTGTAGAGGTTACTTAAAAATAAAATCTTTAAGAGGAAAAAAATTATTAAAAAACAAAAAACCTACAGAAGTGTATTGTCTCAGAGTAAAGCTCAAAGTCTGAAATCAAAGTGTGGGCAATATGTTCCCTCTGCAGCCTGAAGAGAAGAATCCTTCCTGGCCTTTCTAGCTTCTGGCAGTTGGCTAGCAATGCTCGACTTACAGCTGCAACATTTCAGTCTCCGCTTCCATCATCACATGGTAGTTAGTCTCTCAAATCTCTGTCTGGATCTCTTCTCCAAAAGACACCAGACACAATGGATCAGGGCTCACCCCAATGGCCTCATCTTAACCTGACCTCATCTGCAAAACCCCTGTTTCCAAGTAATAGCACATTCACAGGTGCTAGGGGTTAGGACTTCAGCAACTTTTGGGGGGAACCCAAGTCAATCCATAATAACGTGTAAAGGTGCCTTTGCTGGATCTATGGAGGTTGATTAGACAGAAACCTTGCCACCTCAGAACTGAGGGCCCATCGATGCCTTTTTCCCATTGTGGAGGACAGAGAATCAGACTAGGTATCAAATTAGGAAACCATGACCTCATTAAGTTAAGCCATTAGTTTTCAAGTGTGATCCTGGACCAGCAGCATAGCATCATCATCACCTCTGAACTTGTTAGAAATGCAAATTCTGAGGCCCCCTCCTAGACCTGCTGAATCAGAAGCTCTGGGGGAGAGGTCCAGGGAATGGTTTTAATAAGCCCTCCAGGTGATTCTGATGCACACTCAAGTTTAATAACCAGTGACCTTGGGATCCCTGGGTGGCTCAGCGGTTTGGCACCTGCCTTCAGCCCAGGGCCCGGTCCTGGAGACCCAGGATTGAGTCCCACATCGGGCTCCCTTCATGGAGCCTGTTTCTCCCTCTGCCTGTGTCTCTGCCTCTGTGTTTGTGTGTGTCTCCTATGAATAAATAAATAAAATCTTAAAAAAATATATAACCACTAACCTAGCCCAACCCCTCACACAAAACAAGTGGGAAAGCAGCCCCATAAGTACAATAGTGCCCCCTTTTGCTGAGTGCTTACTATCTTCCAAGCAGATCTTTGCCATGCATCATGTCATTTTGTGCTCACTCAATGCATTAGATACTGTTGCTCACCCCATTTCATAGACCAGAGAGCAGAGACTTGGTGAGGTGAGTAAAATTCCAAAGCCTCACAGCAACTAAAAAGATGGTACAAGGATTAAGAAACAAACACCCCAAGGGATCTGGCCAGATAGACTCCAGCTCAGATCGATTATTTTACCCACTCAAGTTGGTCTTGGTTGGGGGAGACTGGATCCTTGGGCTCCCAGGCAGTTTGGGGCTACCTCTGCCCTGGAAGAGCTTACAATATGTGGAAACCAGCCAGAAAGAGTGAGTCATGACCCAGTATACCCTCCCTGGCCTCCACCGCTATCTCTCCCTTCCTGCCCTTGCCTATCATAGCCCTTCTCATACTGGTGCTCTTTGGCCAATTTCTTGTCTTTCTCCCTTACCACTCCCCTGAGGCAGGTGTGGCTCTATAATGTTTACATGCCTGGCCCAGAATGTAGCATACTAAGTCTTCAATAAATGAGTGTCGAATGAAAGAATAAACTTTGGAAACTACTTCCACCTTACTTTCTCATTTTCAAATGCCTTACTGGCAATACGTATATCTTTGGATTCGGTGATTCCACATTTAGCAACTTGCCCCAAGAAAATCATCAGACATACACACGCACATACAAAGATGTATAAGGATATTCACTGTTTTCACTATTTACAACAGTGAAAACTAGAAACAATCCATACATTAGAGTACTGTGGAATCATTAAGTGTCAGGCCCTCTGAGGCTGATCAAGCAAGGAAATGCTTACCATAGGGCATTAAGTAAAACAAACAAACAAACAAACAAACAAACCACTGGTCAGGAAGCTACACATGTGATTCTGATTGGTTTTTTTCAGTACTACTAATACAAATCTAAAAGAGTCTGGCAGATGGTCACTGAAATGCTAATACTGTTGATTCTTAGGTAAAAATATGACCAGTAGTTTTAATTTCTTTTCTGTGTTTTTGTGATTCTTCGAAGTTTTCTGCAATGGATAGGTGTCACTATTATAATTTCAAAAGGAATGTTTGGGGTTCTAAATGTGCCCAACAAAGCTAAGGAAAAGGGGAAAGAATAGAGGTTCTAGGATCTGAGGAGTACAACCTTGACACAGACATCATGTTACCTGACCATCCTATTATCCTTCTAGACTCTCTATTCCCATTTTATAGATGAGAAGACAAGTTCAGAGAGGTAAAGTAATTTGTCCTAGGTCACACAGCTGGGTATGCTGGGAGCCACATCTGGGTTTAGTCCATCCCACTGTATGTACACACATACATGCATACTTGGAGTGGAAATGTTTTTTAAAAAATATAACAAGCTGTAATTTTGAGTTTAGAGTCTCTAGGCTACAGAGCTTCTGGCCTGGCCTGTGGACCCTGTGTATCACATACAGTGACAGAGTCACATCTAGTGCATATAATGCTATTTGTTGGAACAGCATTAGACATCTGTTGTCTCAACCAATAATTACAGGATCTCCATGAGGTGGGCAGGGCAGGGACCATCCCCTCATCACCTTGAAGAGCAAAGACATTGTTCCTTCCAGAGGAAGTGAGATCTGCTCAAGGTCACTTGATGAATGAGATATGGTAAGCTGTTCCTGCCCTCCTCCCGCACCCCTTCATCATAGCCCTCACTCCCACCTACCCTTCCTGTGGTCCCCCCTCCCTTATAAATGGGTGAAATCCAAAAGCCACTAATGCCAGTGAGACCAAAGAGTAAACTTTGAGTCAGTGAAATCAATTCATTTACAGAGACAGCACATAATTGAGACAGGTGGCGCCTGAATTGGGGATATCGGTTTTCCCAAATTGACCCAGATGGGCTGCTGGGGCAAGGGGGCTTCCCCTGAAATGGGCAGAACCAGGCAGAGTGCATCAGCTCCTCTCACCTGCCTGAGTGCCCAGCACTCCAGGCCCTGGAGAAGATTGCTGAAGGTGGAGTGCAGGAAGGAAAGAATTAGACCGACTTGTATTTGGTTGTTAGAGGTAAGAGTTTCTTTCAGAAGGTACAAGAGAGTAAGCAGTAGTGTCCTTCCCACCCTCATTCCCCGCATCCTCTCCCACCCTTCCTGTCTCCCAATCTCCTTCCTGGAGGCAAACACTCTCCCAAGCTTCTCTTATGTCCTTCCAGAGAAAGTCTTGCATATATGCAAATGACAATCAAATTTAAAATCCACTTCCTCCCCCTCTCCATGCTTTGAGACATGTAGAATAAGGGACTCAGCAGCCCTGGATTTTTATCTTTGCTCTGTCACCGTGTT